AAACTACTCACATGTTAAAACTGCAATATCTTGTGCAAGAAGAAAATTTTGTTCACTCTTAGGTCTAGGCAATGGGTGCGGTGGTATGCATCCCTTGCTTGGATCAAAGCTGTACTGGTCATTCTCCTATCCAACTCTGACTTATGGTTGTGCAGTAATACCTTACACTAACAATGACATTAATCTAATGGAAGGTCTGCACAAAGAGGTCGGAAAACGCATTCAGACATTACCAAAGAATACGCCAGACCCTGTCGCCACTAGTCTGCTTGGATGGATGTCTGTTAAAGCAAAAATTGACTGTGATAGATTGATGTTTCTGTATATGTTGTTAAGGCTACCTGTAAGCTGTATATATAAGGTCATTTGTTTAGAAAGGTTAATACGGATGATGTATTTAAAATCATCATCTCAAGGTCTGAAATCTCCATTATCTCAAATGTGGGATACTGTTGTGCAGTACAACCTCATAGACTATGTTAAGAACATGATTTTTAATGCAGATATCCCTTCAAAACAAGAATTTAGAACTGTAGTCTACGGACGTGTCAAGAGTTTTCACAATTATAGTACTGTTTTATCATCATTAATGTATAAAAATCTAAACGTGGTGACAGGATCGTTGTCTATCCTAAAACCGAATGTATGGTGGGTGATCGCAAAAGAAAACCCCAATGTATTATACCTCTGTAAAATGATGGTCAAATTATTAACCTCGACATATTTTAACAGTAGACGCCGTGAGGGGGACACAACTTTATCAGAAATCTGTATATTTTGTGATCTTAACGAAAGAGAAAGTGTTAAGCATTTCTTGATTACTTGTCCAGCTTTTACTGATGTTAGAAAACCCTTACTCAATTTAGCGAGGGGTAATCTGAATGTAATGAACGACGATTATATTCTTAAAGTGATTCTAGGAACTGTATACAATGATGATAAGGAGACTCTGTTACTCATAGCTATGCATGTGTACGAGTTACACAGGCATAGGCAATTTATTGTGGATAAAAGTTAGTTATCCTCTTTACCTTACATCAAGTAACACAAATATGTTTTATAATTTTATTTAATTTTCTCTACATGTTAATATGAATGTAACTCTCTTTTATTTAAGAGGTAAATAAATTATACATACATACACCTTCCATTAACGAAATGCTATTACGTATTCGCACGTGTAACGTTTCATACTTTTTAGTCTTGCCTCGCCCATGAAACGGGAGCAGAAGCCAAATCTGTCCTAATATCCAACGAATGGTAGATCTACAACAAGGGAATTCTAGTATGAAGCTATTAGAGGGTGGAGTGAAGATCAACACAATCAGATTTAATTTGATATACAATTTGTGAGTTCTTAGGTGCGCCATGTAAACCACTTCTGAGACCACTAGCTCCCTCTTTATAGCAATTAGACTCGTCAGAGGTTTTGAAAGTAGAGCTGAGGCCTCATTATCATCTGGTCGCAAATAGTTGCGTTGCGATTGCGATCGCAATTCGTAACGCATGCGATGCGTGATATTATCAATTGAGCGCAATCGCAGACGCAAAGCAATCGCAAAACAATTAAAACGTCAGTTGCGATCGCAAGTCTAGAGTGTATTTTGGCGCGAAATTTAAAAGGACACTGGCGCTAGTTTTTGACAGTAGTCGAAGAAACATGTCGAGGGCAAGGAATTGGACAAATGATGAACAAGAATTATTAGTATCTCTCATTGAGAAGGATGCAAATATTCTTTTGGCACCACTTAGCTGTCAAATAACAATACAGTCACAGGATAGCTGCTGGGCAAGGGTAGCTGGAAAAATAAGTTCACTTGGTGTGGAAATGAGGACTAGAAAAAACGTTATGTAAGTCACACATCACTGAAAATAAATAACGGGAAGTTGTCATGTTACTGAAACTAACTGAAATAAAATGAAATTTGGTCGTTGTTGTATGTGTTCTACAATGCTTCTATCTAAAATCCGTCAACATAATTTTTCAATAGACAATGAAACGATAACATCTAATGAGTTTTCTATTTGGTGGTGTATATTTTACATTTTATACACATGCAAGAAAATTGCAAGTTGTGGGTTCCATATCGATATATGTTTAAATATGTCTCCAGTGTATTGACTCATTTATTTTCCTTTGGAACAAAATATGAAACACGTCTTTTGCATTGTGATCAAAGCAAATCATGTTTGAGTCAGGGTCGGGATGAAAATGTGAAATCTTGGTGTTCTTGTACTTTTGCAGACGATGTAGGTGAGGTACATATACACTAGGAATACTCAGAACATTAGTGTAGTAGTGGCAAGATTAATTCACCAAACAAGCTTTATTAGCTAGATAAATATTTAATTGGCGAAAATCCTATGCTCCAAAGAGCACGAAATATTGCAGGCACCAATCTAAGATGTATACAGTATGTGATGCGTTCGCAATATTTAGAAACAAACGTGATTTTTAAGGATTTACAGGCTCAATTAAATGTATATTTTAATCATATTAAATAAATAAAATTGAACAATTTCTTCGATACTATTGATTAATACTTAACAGGTAGTGAAATGACCGATATAAAACACCACAAAATATCCATTAACATAGATAAAATAACGCTCAAAGATGAACTAGATTTGCGATTTGATTTGCGACAGGGTAAACGTCGTCGCAACTTTTTGTTTAGTTGCGATCAGAAAATCGATAACTTTGCGTCAGACTTGCGATGCGATGGAATGATAATAACATTTTTGGGGAATAGTTGCGTTGCGATGTCTTGCGATGCGATTCGCATGCGATTTTGCGTTGCGACCAGATGATAATGAGGCCTCTGGTCTTCATACAGTTCTTCTTAGACAACTATTTGATCCAAATTCGATGATTGCTATTTCAGATAACATTTTTTTTCGAAAAATGGTGGCCATCTTGAAAATTGCTTCTCAAACAAAGTTTCTATGCCGGTGTAAAAGAAATTATGGTCCCCCAGGGATTATGGTCCCCCCTTTTAAGGCCCTTGTTGGCCCTGGTTGTGTATAAGATAATAAGGGAAAGAGCACAAAGAGGTCACCATATAAATCAATGGAGAGTAGGACCATAAATTAATGGGACCTCCTACCCTTTTACACCGGGCATCAGCATATGAACTAAATCTGTCCACTAGTATTTGAGTTATCAAAGTTTATATTTTGACAAAAAATGGCATTTTCTCTAAACTAAGTTGTCTCTTTAATATACCACTATATTTCAAACAAAATACAATCATTCCGTTTTATCATATACAGACATTTTATTGCATACCAAATATATACACTTGTTTACAAACAATGCTTTTCTCAATACATATACTGTACATGTCCAGTATAAGCATAAAAAAGCATAAATGCACTCAAATATTCCCAATTTTATATCATATTAAAAATTATTTCAAAACCCTGCAATCTGGCCTTGCTTGAAGTTCCTTTGTTAAGCTTTACCCTGAAACCACAAGGCTAGCAGTAGCAATAACTACCCTCTGAGTAAATCAAATAAATTAACAGCTGATGCTGATAATTTGTGACCTCACCAGTAACATTATGGCCTTTCATTGGATATCAAATCAAATATTTTGTAAAAAGTTGATTTTTTGGACATTTGATTTTTAGGCATTCTGATTGGATGGACTAGATCAATAAATCATTACTTATTTGAAGAGTGTATACAAAGCTCTATTGAGGTGCAAAGTCAAGTTATTAAAAAGGGTAACTGACCCACATTTTTTTCTCCCAAAACACAGAGTTTGGTAAATAGAAAGTTGAACAAGAAATATGACACATGGATTCCATACTTTCTGAGTTTGAGCGAATATTTTGTCCATTAGATCACCATCTTCAAAATACTTTGTGTAAAATGAAATGTTCCTGTTCCTACATGTGTTACTTGAAGAATGTTATACATTTCACAAAAATTCAGTACCTGTATATGTGACCATAAAGTAATTAAAAAACAGTCATTGTACATTAACACATCTTAAAAATGTAAGCTTACTTTTTTACAGCTTGAATCTAGTCAAATTGGGTAATGCTCATTAAACAGAAATACATAGTAAGAGAAAAGTTCTTTGTTGACAACAATATGGCTTTCGGTACAATTTGAATTGATATAATACAGGATGGCACAAGTGTGTACATCTTCCATTATTCAGCAGTGGGTTGTTTTTTGGATCACCCTGTACATGGATCCACCAAATCCATTCATTTATCAAGCTTATTCATTGATTCATTAGAAAAAACACATAGTCAATGTAAGACCACATTTTCCACGTTAAAGCCTTAATGTTTTTTTTACTGATTTAGCTTATACATCACTACTCACTGAGAAAAGATATGTATGTCATAAATTCCCATTGTTCCTTCCTACTTCTATCTAAATTCTGTATTGTTAACTTTATATTTCAAATATATTAAAGGAAAGCAATACATAAATATTTTATACTGAGAAATGATATGTATGTCATAAATTCCCCTTATTCCTTTCCAATTCTATCTAAATTCTGAATTTTCAACATTATATTTCAACAATGTTAAAGGAAAGCAAAACCCAAATATTTTTATACTGATATAGCTTATACATCCCATTTACTGAGAAAAGATATGTATGTCATAAATTCCCATTATTCCTTCCTAATTCTATCTATATTCTGTATTGTTAACTTTATATTTCAAATATGTTAAAGGAAAGTAAAACCTGAATATTTTATACTATGAAATGATATATATATCTATCTTGTTACATGTGTTAACTTTATATTTCAACGATGTTAAAGGAAAAAACAATACCCAAATATTTTTATACTGATATAGCTTATACATCCTATTCACTGAGAAATGATATGTATGTCATCAATTCCTTTTATTCTAAATTCTAATCTTAAATTGCTATAACTTTATATTTAAACTAGCATTTTCTTTATGTTGAAAGTCAGACAATTTGTCTTCATAGGGGACCTTTTAACCATCACCAGAAGCTTTTCCTTATCAAGGTAAACATGTTAGTGCAGCAATACGAAATTAATAATTTCATACAGTGTATTAAGACTCTTATAAATAAAGCATTAATCAACACAAAATATTTTTTATGATTGATTTAAAATCTTATATAAATATTTTATAAAGGTCTTCTGTTTTGATTCATATAGGGCTGTTGCACAGGACTCGAGACATGATTTCTAAAGAACAACTTCGGCACTTCGGATCATATCAAACATAATAGGTACAAGCAGAAATGGACTTGATTTTCATGATTAAATATGTAAAATTTAGTCAAAGTGATTTAAAATTTTAACTCTTTGATTATAGATACCTGCTCATCTAGTTGTTTTGAAGATTCATATCAACGTAATTTTTTATCAAAAGTGATTTCTAAGTTGGTTATATCCCATAACCCCAGTATTTTTACTATTTTACCCCAATATTTTACCAAAAATCATTTATAAACCCCTCCCTTCAACTTACGCTTTGTGCATTGACATTTAAACAATTGCAATACTGACTTCTAAAGGATATTGACCAAGGGGTTAGTTCATCCTGATGTTCTAATCACATATTTTTGAAAATCAAAAAAAATTATACCTCCGAAATTTGGAATATCAGGCAAGAAAAAGCGATTTCTCAGTTGGTTTGATCTCATAACCCCATTTTTTACTATTTTACCCCAATATTTTACCAAAAATCATTTAAAAACCCCTCCCTCCAACTAACACATTGTGTACTGCGATATTTATACACTGCAATCAATGAGTAACTTTTAAAAGTTATTGCCCAAAGGCTTATTTCATCCTCAGGTTTTTGTGGTCATATGTTTTTGAAAATCAAAAATATATACCTCTGAAATTTGAAGTGATCAGGCAAGAGGAACCACTGGGATGAGATAACCCAATTGGTTCAGAATAAATAAAAGATTGACAATTTGATTGATCTTGTAAAATAGCATCTTCAATTCTAATGATTTCCATGAATATAAATACATTGAAAAGATGATTAAGGTTAAAACTTGCATTCGATAACATTGGACTATAATTTCAAAAATGTTTACAAAAATCGCCTGTGGTCAGGTCTGAGGTATTTTAGATTTTTGAATTTACAGTAAAACTTGTGTACAGTGAACACCTATGGGGCCACAAAAATATGTTCACTAGAGGTAAGGGTTCACTACTGAGAGGCAATTTTATACAGAAGTCAATGTGCTGAGATGAGGTGTTCAATAGACACAGGTATTCACTTGAGAGATGTTCACTAGAGACAGGTTTTACTGTATTTTATCATAAGCTCCATTAATTTTGTCTGTTTTCATTATTTATCTGTGATAATAAATTCCAATAAAACTGGCGATATCACAATATCTAATCTATTATCTAAACAAGGAGCCCAAATAAATTATTTTGTTGGTAATTTTGATTGTTTATTGTTCATTTTATTTATTTATTACCTCCATTGGGAGTTGACAAACTTTGGTATTTTGATGAGATTGTTCAAAGCATTCATTTCCTGCAGATATAATCTACATCCTGGCACTTCCCCCACCGTCTGCACAATGTATTGCATTATGGGATATGTTTGATTATCAATCCTTGTCCTCCACTTCAATCTTAAGATCCTTTAATAAACAGTCTAAGTTGTCTACATTTGGACGTAGAATCTTGGTGTAATTTTCCATGTCATTTATACACTGAAAAGTAAAACAACAGCGTTAAGTAACTCAAAAAGCAAGAGAAGTGGCAGGGGGTAGGAATAAGAACTCTAAGATAAATTGAAAATAGCAATGCTTGCCCAGTGTTTTTATAAATTCAATTTGCAAGTCCAATGGGGCTGATTACTGACAAGTTTGCCTTTCACTATCAATCCTATAAAAAAAGATCGAAAATTTGTCAAATTTAACGGCAAATATGAAATGATGCCTTTACTTAGCTTGTATTCACAAATGCAACTTTCGGCTGCCGGCTCCTGGATTAACCTACTCGTTTATGGCCAACTCATTTAAATATGAATGGAACAGTAGCAGATAGTGAGTTAATCCAATAGCCGACAGCTGAAAGTTGTATTCGTGAATACAAGTCATTCTAATCAATAACTCAGCCTATTATATTATAATTTTTAAATCCTACCTCATCTTCAAGGCTTTCATTTCCATTGCATAAGATCTTGATGAGGTCAGCCCTCCAAGGTGCAGCATGAGACACCAACTAAACAAAAAAATATTATTTCAGCATGAGACACCAACTAAAACAAAAAATATTTCAGCATGAGACACCAACTAAAGAAACAAAATATTTTAAATATTTATATTTTATTTCCACAGGCTGGTATCGAAAGATTTGTCCGTTGTGACGGAGCATGTTAGGTTTCATGAAAACAATAAGAAAACCACATAATTTATTTCTTAAGTCATATGTTTTGTTGTATCAAAGAAAATTACTAACTCCATGCAATGGATACATCATTTGTGAGTAACCTTCACTTCTGCTTGAAGTTCAATAACGCTAAAAGTAAAAGCTATTAAAAATGGCGCCAGAATCATACTCTAAAATGTACCATTTCTTTTTAACTTTTTAATGGCATGATATAGTGACACAATAATCATTCAATGGTAGTTTTTGGGTACAGGGTACATATTGTGGTAAATACAATATGTGTAACTGAGGGACTGTATGTAGGGACCCTAATGAATGGTTGATGAAGTGCAAGTTAAATAAATACAGGAGAATCGTGTGAGCTACACTTTGAAGTTGATAAACCAACATCTATTTCTTTTCCACATTCGTACAGGTATTACTCACTGAAAAAACTTGTCGAACCATCCAATTGTGATGCATTTTTAAAGTTTGCTCATAAGCATTTTGAGTGATTGTCTTGAGTGATTCCGATTTCTTCCCCGACCTTGTGTCATCCACTATAGATTGGAGGAAGCGACAGATAAAGTCCATTCCCCTGAAAAATAGCAAATCAATAATCATACTGTATGTCAGAGGGAAAAATGTAGAGTAAAACCTGTACGGAAAAATCTGTATAAGTGGTACACTTCCACTTGGGAGATGTTCCACTTACTGAAATTTATTTAACATTATATCAATCGGATTTTCAATCATAAGACTCTAAAAACTGTTTCCCTTACAGGTGTGTTCAACTTACAGAGGTACATTGTATTTCACTTTACATGTTTTACTGCGTATCTGGACATCTCTCAATATTACCACTTTCTCTCAGACTCAATTCTGTAAAATTTGTAAATCTCATACATACCTTTTCAACCAAAGTAAAGAGACACAAGTTGATTTGTCATTCTTTTGGTAATTTAATCGTATATCTTCTTCTAACAATTGACGGAATGTTTTTAAATTATCACTTTTTTCACCTCCTCCATTTTCTTGGTTCAAAATTTGCTGCCTGTTGTGTATTTTCTAAAAATTACAAAGATAAAAATATCAGAATATTACAATTAGAATTTTCTCATTTAAGCTACCCTGTAAAAATATAAATAAAAAATAAAAATATGAATTGGCACAGAGCCTTTTAATAAATGTTGAATATATTGTATCACTTAAAGAAGGAATGGGAGCATCAAAAGCATGCACTTTTTGGAGATTTCGGGCAACTTTAAAAAAAATGGAGCATACAATTACATCCCTTAAGTGATGCCGTGGTCACAATTGCTCCGATGTTCAGTACCAGCACCCAGCCAATGAGTATTTTGTTGAAAATTGCATTCAGTTTTGAAGAAAATACTCATCGGGCAGGTGCCGGTGTCGAACAGCGTAGCAAATGTAACCACGGTATTATCAACCTCATGGCAGTGAATCAAATTAATAAATCAGGTTACTCTGACTCATAACTTAGATTTTTATATAAACCAACATAGATTAGATTACAAAGTAATTAATTTTCACCCTTTATCAATTTTTTGATGTAGTGTAAGGTCATCGTGTTTACAAACTGAACATTGATATCATTAAATAAATAAAGCCATTTTACAGGCTTAAGAATAAACCAGTGTTATTTAAGCTAAAGTAATTTAGTTCTCTGTTTAACATTATTTTTTTTCATAGATACAGGAAGTACATGAAGTAGAGAGAATAGTACAATAACGTCATTTCAAAGGGCAATATTGTAAGTTATTGAATGATTTGAAGTGCGATACAGGATAAATTCTGTTTTAGAAAACGAGACGAAGTCGAGTGCCAATACATAATATCGAGACAAGAGCGTTTCAGTCATAATGTCATAATATCAATTATATACTCTAGCCTTTTATTTATTTAGGAAGGTTATGTTTTGTAGATTAAATTTACAAATCAGTTTTAGATACAGAAAACTGCTCAAGATATTGAATTGATAAACGAAAGAGATCACGTGTGGCAGGTGTGTACAGTGTATGAATCAACCCATTACACTGTACACTTAAGACGAGAAACTTCTCTATTCATTCCAGGTAGTGCATACACGTACATACATGTATAATATCCCAGATTCAAATCACTGCTTGCCATACCATACCTCAGTATTTGTACAGTACACTTTTAAACCTTTACTTAGGTGAGCTTTTTGTTGGGTGTTATGGCTTTATTTTCACCATGGACCAACAGATGTTGTTCGCCCCTGACCAAAAAACAGTTTTCACCATTCTGTGGACTTTTTAAGTGATTTTTGGCAAAGTTGTGGAATACTGAAATTTTTGAAAAGCGAACTGCTTAGCAAAAGCTTGCTATGGGCCTGACACTTAATTGCAATCAAGTGTTGCATACTTTGGGATGCAGTGGTCTCCCCAACATTAAAGCAAGTGGGCCCAGCACCCAACTGAGATTTTGAAAACAGCCTTGCATCCACCTGAAATCCATTTGTACATCCACTTGAATATGAGAAAAATCATGAAAAATTTGCATATTTTGACCAATTTTGGTCTGAATTATGAAAATGAGAATTTTGCACCCACCTGAGAAAAAGTTCTGGTGAGATCACTGGGAAGGTCAATTATTGCACTGTACTTACTGTAACATTTCCATTGACGTCTGATTGAATCACTCCAAAGGTTTTCCCCAGTTTACCTGAAAAAAGATTCAGTAGAAGGCTGATAAATTTTTAGGATGTACATGTACATGAGGGGATTTCAATAGACAATGGTAAATTCACTCTGGTCACAAAATCACCTGTTCTTTTTACGGACTTTTGCATGTTTTTATGATTTCCATTAATTTTGCTTGTTGTTTTCATTTATTTAGCCTGTTGTGATTAATTCTAGTGAAACCCCTGCTGGATATCCAAAATTATATTTCCAAAAATCAACATTTCCACATTAAATTTCTTATTGCAAATTTTCATCTTTTGTGAATTTTTTAGTGAAAATACAAGTTTGATTTTCACTAAGAGATTTTTGCTTTTTGAAAAATTTGGATCCGTGGTCTTTTCGTCTTTTTCTGGAGCTAATTTAAAGGCTTCATTACAATTAATCATGACAATGAAAGAAAGGAAAGATAACATGATTTTGTATTTCAATTCGAAGGTTGTACCAGTTTACATTAGTTGGACTTCTAGGCTATGATTTTTTTAATATTATTTTTAGGGGAATTTAGGGGGGACTTGTTTCAATATTAAAATGTTGTCCATCTAATAAATCAATGTTTTCAAATTTCGTAAAATCTGAGCTTTACTGCCTTCAAAGATCTAGTAAAGCACCGCATACTGTACTCTAAAATGACCAATTTCATTGCGTACATCTCGTGAAATAGTTGCTGAAACCAATTTCCATCATAGATTGGACAAGCTTTACTTTTTTGTAAAGCACAACTAAATGTATGGGAATAAACCCAAATCACATTCATTATAGACAATCTACATCAATAATCCGCAAAAGGCTAATAAGCCCATTTAAAGCAGATGTATAGTTTAACAGTGATATAATTTGAAAAGAATACAATTTGAACCTTAACATTTAAAAAATAGATCTATGGTTTACAACTCAATTTAAAATGTACACGGAAATTATGAAACACTTCTCCACTTAAGGAGGCATCTTCCCCAAGGTCGATGCTCCCGTTCGTAGAAAAGTAGGCCATGTTCAATAATCATTTGTACAGAACAAAAACAAATTTTAAGAATGTACCATAGACCTATTGCTGAAATACAACTGAGCTTAATTGTTAAGCTGCTTGCTGACAGAAGATTTAAAACTGGATAGGCTATCACTGTCTAAAATATCACTGGGTATAGGAGTAGACTATATCCTATTTAGTCTGAATTATATTCAGACTGACTTCTAGTCAGTCTGTTGGATACATACTAGGTATAGGAGTGTTCCATTTTACCATGGGCTTTCATGATTTTACTATTGCCCTTGGAAAGTAACTAAACTTGTATGCATCCGTTCTGGCAGCTGGTTGGATGAATTTGGATGGATGGAACTGTCTAGTGTTTGTGTTTATTTGAGGGCTGACAAGAAATTAGATTTAGTCACTGAGCACTGGCAAAGGCTGTTCAGGTAATTTTTGAGTTGACTCACTCACCGAAAAAAGGCAGGATTTGTTTTGAAGCTTCAAGGAACGGGATGACCTCTATGTTTCCATCATCTGGTACCGGCAGGTACTGTGGATCTATCTGGCCAAAGAAAGTCATGTTACTGTGCCTATTTCGATTCCTATATGATGTTTTTACTCAATATTCTAAGCAAATATTTATAAACTTGTACAACCGGATATGGATCACCAATTTTACTACGCATGCGCAGGTTTGAAAACAAAAATTCAAAAATTTCCAATGATTTATTATTTTAGATAATTTACCGGGCATCGATGCTGATTAATTTATAATAAGGTATATTTTGAACTCATTTTTTATCATAGTATATGACTATGTTATTATTTTGCTGTTGAAATAGTAGTATACTTGCGTTTTGAAATCTGAAATTCCTAAATTTGTTCTATTATCGCCCACCAGGCAACAGTAAACATTTTCCTAATCAGTTCTGTTTTCTGTTCGTATATACATACATTAAAAACAATGTTTAATATATGTATCTCATCTATTAACATTACTGATCCACCCTAGATAAATTGTACTTTTGAATGGTGAGAGCTATAAGCGAAGAGCAAACTGATCCACGCCGCGCCGGGCAATGGAGTAGCGAGTATGAATAACAGTTTTCAATCCTCTTTGACCAAACAAATACGACTTACAAAATTTGTGGTGTTATTTTTATTTAATTTCTGTCATTTTATCTCGTTTTTACCACAACAATATCCCTTCATTTCATATAGGGTGGTGTTAGATCTCTGCATCTTTTGACATCTTATATTCCATCATTCTTCGATAATGTACTCCCGGTTAATTTCGCGCATTTTAATTTCGCGAATTTTGAGAAAACACGATTTTGTGGCTATTAAATTTCGCGGATTCCACAATTTAAGATCTCATTATTCTCTGAATCCTCAAGCTCTGTAAATAAAGTAACCTAATGTACAGTAACACCTACCTAATGTCATATTTGGATTAGAATTATTACTAGATCTTGGTCAATGGCAGGCTGCACCTTAACCTTTATTACATTGTCATTTTTTATCTATTTGACAGAAACCATTGCTTAGCATCCTATTTATTGCCTAATAACACTGGCCAAACACAAATGTTTTACAAAACACGAAACGCAATGGAGTCCCGGGCAATAAAACATTTCACAAATCCCCGGGGATTTAATTTACAATTTCGCTAATATTAATTTAAGCGATTTTACCACAATCGCGAACAGCACGAAACTAAATTGCATGTGAGAAATACTTGGAGTACAGTATACACTTGTATGTGTGCTTTTATGATGCTCCAAAGTCAATGGTGTAATTTCCTCATTGAATATCCAGTTCTCTAAAATGGTACTTCTCATCTAACAAAAACTTATGTTTACACAGAGCTAGAAGATGGCGCTGCCTCACATGCCAACAAGCTACACAACCAGGAAGAATATTTACGAGGCTGCGATTGTACGTCGAAGAAATCATGATAATGATTTTCATGAAAAATGGTCAAAACATGCAAGTTACTTCAACCAATCAAATGTTGAGGCCACAAAGCAGACAGCATGGCAATCTAATGAATCTTTTCATAACAGGTTTGTATGTACAGTAGTTCATTTTAGGTTTATAAGTACATTAAAACCTGTATAAGTAGAACACCTGTACCTCTTAAATGTTCCACTTGGGAGGTTTTCCATGTACAGGGGTTAAAGTCATTTGGTCAAGGAATTCAGAAAGGGTTTTACTTACGGAGGCGCCCTACTGATTGAGATGTTCCATTTACAGATGTTCTACTGCAGGCTTTACTATATGATAAAACCTCAATTCAATATTAGTAACAATACTTTAAGGGTACTTCAACAAATATTTTATTCACTTTAAATTTAAGCCATACTAGGATCTGTCAGACTTGGTTTGATAAGCTTGCAGTAAAATTTCACTTTTTGCAATGAACTTGGAAAAGCAAGTTTCATGTCAGGTAAGGGACTGAATGCCAATAATGTGAAAATAATTGTGGAAATAATGTTCTCAAGTCTATTTGTTAACCCTGACTGGTGCGCTACTCCATGCTTTAATTTTAACCCTTAGATGGTGAGGCTATAGAGATCCCCCACCCCCACCCCCACCCCCACCCCCTTCTAACTGTTAAAGGGTTAATAAATTTGATTTTAAATACTCCAGTATGGATGCATATAGAGACCAACATGACAGAGAAACCAAAGTGCTACTGTTAAAGAAAAGAAGACTTAAACTTGGGAAGTTGTTGAAGAATGAATCAAATCAGTATGAGGTAGGAAACACCTTTTAAAATCTATGCTTTTTGTGTTTTTAAAGTTTGCCATCAGTGAAAAACTGGTAGTGATTCTTAATATATTAGCAATGTGTAGTCTCATGTAGAGCTCCATTTTACTTTTAAATTCACTAATCAGGCCCGTAGTCAGGATTTGCCAGGGGGTTCCCAAACCCTGCGAACCCCCCCCCCCCCCCTGGCTACAGGCCTGCTAATGGCTTATATTTCAATGTTCAGTGTTTAAACAATGAGTTGTCTCATGTTAACTTCATTTTGATTCAGGCTGAGTTGACTTTTACATTCATGAATGGCTTATATTTCAATGTACAGTGTATAAACAATGAGTTGTCTCATGTTAACTCCATTTTGATTCAGGCTGAGTTGAAAGGTGTCTCCAGAGGGAACTTTGACCTCATGGAAGATATGAAGGAAAGAACTGATGAACTGAAAAGTGCCAGAGAAGAAAAAAGAAAAAAGGTAAGCATTAAAGAAGTGTTATCAGGTTTTTTGTTACCCCTTGATATTTGATAGATGTGGTAAATGTTTATCTCTGTACAAACTGACAGATTTAATGTCATATAACAAATCAATCAATAAGATAGAAGATGTATAAATGAATTCATTTTTTATGACTAATAATTGTAATGGTTTTTATTTGACAGATTGCAGAAGAAAAACTGTATGACCATTTCAGAAAAAATAATCCAGATCTTCGAGAGGTAGGTATTTCTTATTTCTCATAAAGCCAACGCATGCATTGCTCTGTTGCTCGATAAATGTATCACATATTTCAACCCATAGTTTGTAGTTAAGCTGTTAGTTAAATGTCAGGAATACAGTGTAATAGATAATATTATATAATATATTATATATAATTATAGTAACACAAAGTTTTAGCTGAATATTGAAGAATATTCAAGAAAGTTAGAGCAAAAAATTCAAGACTTTTTGGACATTCCTCATATTCAGTTAATTTTTGACTGATTAAACGGTTACAGACACCTCCATTTGGTTGGCAAATCCAGCAGTTTGGTTAAGGATATGATTTTGAGAATCCAACTTATTGAAAGCTGAATTTACCCTTTGCATTTGGAAGAAGGAAGTACTTAAAGGAGTCACCTCCCCAGTATTGAAGCATGGAAGTGGTGAATCTATTAATGGTGTTGAAAATACACCTGAAGTAACCCTCTTGCAAATCTATTGAATATTTACAGTGCCCTATTGGAAATGCAAAAATTAATGTTTGTGGCATATTTTGACCAAATTAGGATTACAGAGGCACTGTCTGATAATAGCAGAATTAGAGTACCCCCATAAGAGACAATGCATCCTAACTGCAAAATGAGAAATGTGCATCTACATTATATGAGAAATTTAAATGATTTCAGTTGGAGACTGAGCAACACAAGAGACATGTCATAGGAGCATGGGGTGAACAGGCATCAGAAAAACAACAGGTCAGTTCATGTTTGTCAAAATAATCTCAAATTCAAGAAAATTAGTGAAAACTCATGTGATTATAGCTTCCCTGCAATGAATGGAGAATCATATTTCCAGAGTTACAGTGATACATATAAATTCTATACTTGATCTTGTATGTTCTTTAATATCTGCGAACCCAAAGCCTCCGTAAGTGAAACACCTCCTTAGTGGAACGCTTTTTGGCAGAACACAGGTTCTACTAAATTTTGAAATTAAATTACTGGATATATATTGCTTTAAAGTTCAACAGATATCTTTGGAGTTTTCCTGGAATTTAGGCGACAAGATTTATGAGGTGACCACCTGCAAAGAGACTCATGCCAATCAGCACAAGACAATGATAAAGCACTTTTTTAAAGTGCGATGAAAATATAAATTTTGGAGTGCAGTTTTCAAAAAATAAATTGGATAGCAGTATTCACCCTATGCAGACAGAGCCTGTGGGAAATATTGGGTGCGGCGCAAATGAGCGGAGAGTGCGGAGCTAACGGTCATTTTTGAATTTAAAATTGGGATATTTCTGAAACTAAGCCGTTTTGGGACTTCAAATATACCAAGATATGTGTATTTGACACCAAATATCAATAAAATTGTGAAAATAGTAGTGCAATTCATTTTATAGCGACGCAGTATGCCTTAAACATTTCCCAGACCTATATATTTTGAGACTATCCTTTTAATACTGCGTCCCCAGCATTCATAAAAAATGGTGTTCAAGATACACTACCCATGCAAATTATTTTTGCATCTTGGAAGCCAGGCAGTATCTGTGTGATTTTATAAAAATTCGGAAATGTACTTCAGATATGAGCCCCTCTAAATATTGGGTGCGGAGCTACGTTTATGGAGCTGCTCCGCACCCAATATTTAGAGGGGGCTCATATCTGAAAAAATTTCCGAATTTTTATAAAATCACACAGATACTGCCTGGCTTCCAAGATGCAAAAATAATTTGTATGGATAGTGCACCTTGAACACCATTTTTTATGAATGCTGGGGACTCAGTATCAAAAGGATAATTTCAAAATATATAGGTCTGGGAAAGGTTTAAGGCACACTGCGTCGCTATAGAATGAATTGCGCTACTATTTTCACAATTGTATAGATATTTGGTGTCAAATACACATATCTTGGTATATTTGAAGTCCCAAAACGGCTTAGTTTCAGAAATATCCCAAATTTAAATTCAAAAATAACCGTTAGCTCCGCACCCTCCGCTCATTTGCTCCGCACCCAATATTTCCCACAGGCTCTGTCTGCATAGGGTGGTATTGATGGTCTCAGGTGAAACATACTTTCATGTGTTTCAGGAACTGGAAAATGCACGAAGAGAGAAGGAGAGATACGAGGAGGAGTTAGAGAGAAGGAGACGGGCTGCAATAGAACATGAGAGGAGTCTAGAAGAGCAGAAATACAACAAAGAAAAAGAAATCAAACAAGTATTAATGACACAAGTCCAGGAACTCAAAGCTAGAGAGAAAGAGGTCGGTCAATATATTAATTTTCAATTTTAATTTCTGTATTTTTGAATAATTTGATTTACTAATATATTTATTTGTTTTTATGATACAAAAATGTAGTTTTCTTTTAAATAAACCTACAAGTGTTGCTAATATTCAGCTGGTGTTAACCACCCTGGGAAAATTATTTCTCATGACATTTCTTTCACCATTTTCTGTCTGATATATCTTCTATCACATTTTCTAAACTTTTTAGAGTGTGTACATGACAATTGTAAACTGTTCATGTGCATATAGTTAAGTTACTTCTGACTTTTAGAATAGTTTTCCAATTCAACAATTTCACTTTAATTCAAAACATAAGCATAATGATAGTCTCATATTTTATATCTTGTGTGTGTATTCAGGCTGATATTCTGAAGAGGGAGCAAGACCTTCTCCTAAAAGAGCAGTGGGAGCTGGAACAACTAGAGGTTGAGAGAAGACAAATGGAAGATCAGAGAAGACAGAAAGAGTTTGGGTAAATATTTCAATTAAGGATTTAAATAGATTGAAATTATGTGAATATTCAGGGAGAGATTTTCTTTTTCTGTATGGCACTTGCACTTCCATTCAATGAGTATTGGCCTAATTATATAATATTCTTGAGCTTTTCTTTTTTCTTTCTGTGTTCTGTATGGCACTTGCACTCCCATTCAATGAGTATTGGCCTCAAATATTCTTGAAATATTTGTAACATGTCTATTTTCTGTTAAGACGTATACTGCTACGGCAACATACAGCGGCTCTAAGACGCAAGAGTAAGCAGATACTGGAGGAGCTAGAGGCAGACAGAAAGTTCTTGGAGTCAATGATGGAGAAGGAGAGAGAAGACCAGACAGTTAAAACTGCAAGGAGAGAGAAAGCAAAGGCAGATGCAGAATGGATGAAAAAGGTAAGGTACAATGAAAAGGGTTCTCCACTAAGGTTGAAAATGTAGTTCATTTCACTGTATTCAGGCATTCAGTCAATTGCCCAAGGAGGATGGGATCCCAGAGTGAAATTCAAATATTCTGCCATGATATCAGTGTCATGACGTCATCATTGCCGTGTAAAAAATTCAAAATTCAAACAGTCCCCATTTCCCAATATTTCTCACTTCAGAATTTGATTCACGAGTTTTGGTCTATTACCTAACAAAAAAAATTCAAAGGCACAAGAAATAAAAATATTCGCCATTCGGCATCTGTAACAAATGGCAAGGGATGACATTTTGCATGTTAATGCCTTGTTTAATAATGACTTTGTCTGTTACTGACAAGTTTGATACGGATAAAGGCAATGTGAAATCCTCAGGAGCACATTGACATGTGGGGAGCAAACATGATTTCATAGTGCACAAAATATACATCTTCTACAAAATGAAAAAAACATTCAAATATAACAAAAAATTATTTTGGATTCCATAGATATGTTTGATTTTTAGCATAATTACTTTGCTAGTAAAAGTTGAACTACTTCGCCAAATGCCAATATTTGTTAAAAGCTGGCCAACCCAAATGAAAGTACAGTGAAACCTGTAAATCTGAACACTTCTTTAATTCGAACACTATTAAAATGAATACTTTTTCTCAATCCCCTGTGGCATTCTGATTTGACAGATTTAAATGTACTTTTTTGAGGAACTTAACTAGAACTTGATTCTTGTTTTAGGTGATAGATGACCAGATCAGAGTAGAGAAAGTAAGGGAGGCTGAACTAGACATGTTATACCAGTAAGTTTACTTACTTTAGTAGTAAGCTACTTAAGTTTATTATTGTTTTTTCTCTGTGGAATTATAAATGCAATTTGAAATCTATCTTGTTATCATATAAATTAAAACCAATCTTAAAGATGTTGTTTGCCTTCATTTTTACTTATTGTAAGAATCTTAAAGGATGGTGAAAAATGGATCGTACTTAGAGGCTCATGCCCCATCTTCACACACTCGGTCTTCCCTGCTTTCGACCAATGGAAATCGAGTGAATGAAGATGGTCATATTCAGGCCAGCTGTTTTAATTTACTTACTGGCAGACTCTAATTTTTTCTCACCCCCGTGTACATACTGTAACACCTTATAAATGTCATAATCCTATGATATTGGACCATATATAAATGTATGTCCCAATCCCTGCATGAACACACCTCATACATGTATTGATAATCCTACACACCTAATCCGCACCTTGAAATTACAGCACTGTACAGTACCATATTTCACGGTACTGTACGGTACATTTGGTGATTGGCTGTGTATGGTATTATACAACTCTTTCAGGGATGAGGCTGCAAGGGTTTGGCAGAAGAGAGAAGCTGAATGGGCCCAGGAGAGGAATGCAAGGGAAAGACTTATGAAAGAGGTACTGAACTCTGCTTATGATTATTGCTCTTCAAAGTGTGATATGTATCACTGTGTGTAAAATCCATTGGAAATGTTGCTTTGAAATTTCATGAGTTTTTCAAGACATGTTTATGGTTTCTCATTCTGTAAATATGAGTAATGCACTGGCGCTTTGTACCACATCATTCTTCTATGCTGATTAGTGATGAATCTTGAAAAAGTGATTTTTAATGAAATCTCTGCATCTGAACTTGATTAATGAGAATTGCTTTAATCTATTTTAGAAACTGTAATTTTTGCTATGTACACTATTGTTTAAACCAGTGGTGTTAGTTATATAAAATAGTGGTATACAAAACATGATCCACTTTTTCAATGTATAGATTATGGCTGGTAGACAAGAACAGATCGCACAAAAAATGGAGGAAGTGAAACAACAGCAACAGGAGTCACTTGAAAGACGTGAGCAACTTGTGCGTGACATGGAGTTAGCGCAGCAGATGACTCATAGAGAGGCTCAGCAGACAGAGCGTGCTAAATCTGAGCGTAAAACTGAGCTACAATCACAGGTAATTTCATTGTTTTCCTACAAAACATCTGTTATGCACTAAAATTCGAATAGTAATTCAACTTTTTAGAGTGTGTGTGTTAAATGTGAAAATTTTACCCATTCTTCTCAAAAACTTTGAAACTGGTGTCTTTTTAATTAACATTAGGTGCACTGGATAGTCTAAGAATCCATAAGTTGGAGCAGTTTAAAAAGCTTCACTTCTATTTTTAGAATTTTTGTATAAACCAGGCATGATTTGAAAGTTCAAAGTGATGCAAAAATTTTCAGATGCGTGCCAGACTCCAACAAGAGGAGGAAGATAGATGGCGCCAGTTGCAGGAACTTGAGCAAGACAAACATGCGGAGGATGATTACGAGGAAATGCTCAGACAAGAAGCTGGCAGGATGAACCTACATGGCTTTCAGCCTAAGGTATTTAAACCACCTATTCATTGGTTAATCATTGGCTTATTTATACATTGCAGGAAGCCAGGATCCCCACAAAAATAAAGGAGTTTTTTAAAAACTGAAATGAAAACACCACCAATATACCGCATTCTTTTCTTATTTCACTCAGTAAACAATCCAGCATAATCACTTTTCCTTGAAAAAATTCTCTGGTAGCAATTTTGTTGCTTACATATTCATGTACACTGTATGTACTTTCAGAAACATAATATAGGTGGCGGGTCCACCAGAAGGCAGGCATGGAACTAGAGTAGACAACATCACATCACTAAGCAACCATGACTTCTGGTCACTATGGTAACTGAATCTATCCACAGCAACACAACATACTCTGTATATCCATCCAAATACAACAGTGAGGCATGATCTGTGGGTAACATCATATAGGACATTGGTGTGACCATGCATACAATCCAATACAATATTACTATACACAATAGACTATGTATATCAATTCATATTCGTCTATGTTGATACAGAGAATGCAACTACAGCGACACCTGTAAACTGGAACACCTTAAGAAGTGTAATACCACTTTTCAGAGTCCCAAGACCAACTGACTTAATGTTAAATGAACCTCTATAAGTGGAACACCTCCTAACTGGAACTTTTTTTTAAAGGTACAAAAGGTGTTTCGCTTAGACATGTTTTACTGTACATGTACGCATATGTGAATTGTAATGTATAAAACACCAGCAGTATTGGCTGCAGCATCATCATACAAATCAAAACAATATTACAATACACAATAGGCTATGTACATCCATTCATATAAGCCTATGTTAATACAGGGAATGCACATGTACATGTACACATGTGTGAATTGTAATGCATTAAACACCAACAGTATTGGCTGCAGCATCATCATACAATTATAATGTGAAGTTGTGAACAGTGATAAACTTAAAGCTAGTCCGTCCATTATTAATAAAATGGAATAAATTTAGAACAATTGGAAATATGTTATTGGAAAGTTATGAAGACCAACAGAATAATTGCGGATAATCACAAATACTGTAATAGTATGTATAATTATGTTAGACAGGGTTAGACATTGAATTTGGACACTTAATCACACAATGCTGTTACGTCCTTTGCATTCATTCGACTTTGCTTCTTAAAAGAGAGCTTCATCTTCAGTAGTTTATAACAAGACTTTGCATACAGGGTACCCTCTACTGGGATTCTTATGAGGGAGATAGCCATGCTATGTTGACACCATTGAACACTCCAGAGTTGAAGGAATTATATGAGACACTCTATTAGATACTCCCACCTTTTTTTTTTATTTCCCAGAGTGTAGATAGGATTTGCCTGGGCTCACTGATTTTCGGAAAAATTGAATTTTGATCAATTTTAGTTTATTTGCTAGGAGCTGGATTTGGAAGCACTTCTTCATCTGAATGCATTCAGTTGACTCGCACAAGTTTTTTTGTCATTTTTCATTATGTCACCACCATAAGTTGTGTCATATCGTTATTGTCTCTAACTTTTTTTGTGATGGCAGTTGGCATCCAGCGGTCAGTGTACGGCATATGTAACAAATAGCAGGTGAATTCCCTAGTTTCACATGCAAAATTCAGCGTTTTTCAACTTCAGTAAAACCTGGGTGAAGAGATTACACTTTAGCACCTGAATGTGGCTGTTAATATCTAGTGATCTTAAAATATGATTTGACTAATTGGCTTTCAAAGAAAGTTGCGTAAATGTAGATACACTTATTTTGACGCTACTTAATTTCTGGAGTGGCGTCAAAATTTCTGGAGTGCATTGAACAAAAATTCCAAACTGAATTTTTTTTCAATCTGTCAAATTAAAGTGGGAGCCAAATTAAGTGTATCTACAGTATAGTCAAAAAGAAAAACTGAACTTGCTACATCAGTTTTTGAAATAGACTGCAGCAACAAAACTAGAGCAGAATAGACTCATTTCAGATTTAATTTATATAAAGAGAATATTCAAAAGTGTAATGTTGGACTGCTTTACTTATATACTTAGTTTGGATGTATTTTTGATTTAGCTTATTTGAGAAAATGAGCACTCCCTAAATTTTACATTCCAGATATCAATATTTACATTGTGGGTAGGTCTACTTGATATTGAACAAATATTTCACTCTATTGAGGTGAATACCTGTACATCTTTCACAAGTGATATTCCACGAAGCCCGAAGGGCAAGTGGAATATCACCTTGTGAAAGTGCTACAGGTATTCACCGAAAATAGAGTGAAATATTTGTTTTATCATATCACTGTCCAGCTAAACATCCCTAATATTATTAAGTCATTAAGTCTTCAGATATTTTTACGAATCTACTCGGTTCGTCTGCCATTTTGACTTAACTGAACTAAATTATTTACACTGAACGAAAACAAATTCTTTGAAAATTCCCGGGAGCGTGGGATATCGCTAGATATCTCACTGTTGTCTTATCTGATTAGCATTGCCATTGAATATCGCCAGATATCCCACGACATGTGACCCGGTTTTGACCAATCATACTGTCGCTAGCTAGATAGTGATATAATAATAGTAATTAATTATTAACTTTATTCAGATATTATACTTTATATTGTAACACGTTTCTCACTAAACGCCATTTTAATTTTGAAATTTTCTTTAACTAAAAATTAAGACTGAAAAACCTGAGCATCTGAAACATTTACAGATCTCGTAATATTTTGAGAGTATTTTTGAAAGTGCGTTTTTGAAAGTTTGTAAGGATTGCATATTTTCTTGAGTTGAGCAAATGTTAGTTGAATGTAATTGTAAATAATCAGTGATGTACATAATAATGTTTAAAGATATATACATATTTATTGTATCTTGTCATTTGCTGTGCATCAGACATACACATAGACATACATAAAATCTGTACAATTGTAGATGTAAATAAAATATTTGTTTGTACATAGTAAATACTGCAAAATCAGTTTGTGTTGAATGTGTGCCTTGGTGGTTAATTTCTGGAAACATCATACAATGACAGATCTGCAAGTCAATTGTCTACTTACTATGCTGACTATGAATCAAACAAAGATAAAAATCATTTAATCTATTTACATTTCTTTATCTTGATGTGAAATAACAAGCTATGATATTAGTTAACATGCCAGATATTAACATAAAATTATTCAAAGCATTTTTAAAAATTTTGAAACCACTATTGAGCTATTGAATGACGGCATTAGTCTGTTGATTTGACCAATGAGCAACGAATTCTTCTCAAAGCACATTTATATTATAGACATATGTCTTCTCTTAACACCGAGGTTTTCCCGATCCTCTTTGTGACATGAGAACTGATTAAAATCAATTCAGCCAATTGCCAGTCCAAATAGGATTGGTCCTAACCAGTATGAAATTTTGAGCAACTGACTAAAGCGAAGTTCACACCAACGGCCCTATGATGGCGCTTTAAAGCATCGTGCAAAGCAGCTTAACACGTCACTTTAAAGCGCCATCAAAGTGCCGTTGGTGTGAACTTACTTTATAGAGTATACAATCATTTCAAATGGTTTGGATTTGGTGACCAAGGTTTTTATAAATATGATATAGCATACAATTTGGACCCTGGCTTTGATATAAGCACTTCTCCAGTTTGTTCAGCATGGTTAGGAAAAAAGTATGACATAAGTTGTCACTAAGTCAAGGTCCAAAATCCTTGGAGCTAACTCCATGCACAGGGGTTTCACTAGAATTTCTCACAACAGGCTAAATAAATGAAAACAACAGACAAAATTAATGGAAATCATGAATTTAACATGGAAAAGTTGAAAAGTTCCTAAAAACAACAAGTGCTTTTATGAAAACAACCGGTGAAAATCGCCTGTTGCCTGCCGCTAATGAAACCCCTGATGCAGGATTTGTGTGTTCCATTTTCATCTTCCAGCTTTCACAGGCGATTGCTAATGTATGAGTTTATGAGTCACTGACTGTGAAGATATTTTAGTCTATTAAATACACCATAGATGTCTCCATTCAAATTTTATGATTATATGTTTGTTCCATTTTCGTCATCTAGCTTTCACAGGTGACTGCTTGTATGAGTTTATGAGTCTTTGACTGTGAAGATATTTTAGTCTATTCCACACACCTTTGCACATGTTGACTAGTTTAGGGTCAGTGGATTTCCGTTTTACTGCAACCTCATACTGTGATCTGGAAATAAACATGAAAAACATGAAAATTACTGTTCAGTAAAACTTGTCTGAAGGGAAAACATTAGGGAGTTGGGACCTGCTTTAAAGGGTGACGCATATCGTTTAGCAAATCGAACGCTCGTTTCTGGTGTTGCTCACCATTTAGTATAAAAGGCCCGATCCCGGAATAATACTCAAGGGTTCACAGGTTCGAGGTCGTTGTGTCAACACCTCTAACTGTTATATAGCATAAGTATATTATAGATCGTCACACATTTATAAAAGGGTGTTTTTTATTTTGACAAATCAATTCCACATTTATGGGTGAAGTTTCAGGATATTCTATTTGTGTATAATAAGGAAAAATTGGCATCTAAATTTCCCCATAACGTAATAGCACACAGCTTGGCATATGAAATATCCTACAAATGAAACAAAGCAAGACAAACCGGTTTTTAATACAAGGATTTATATTGGCTGTTGTACATGTATTCTTTGAACGCAATCACTCTTTGGATAACGTTTTCAAAATCATTATAAACGGATTACTTTATCTCAAAGACAATTTCAATAAACTGGATTTTACAGAACTCCCCTTATTTCTTAAAAATGGACTGATCCAGTTGATTCGCCTGGAGCCGCCATATTGTTTTTATACGGGATGCTAATCGGAACCCTTTAAATGTTCACATTTAAAGATTCTCGCAATCTTTATCCAATCAGCGTTTGCGATGTGTACCGGCTCACGTATAAAAGGCGAATCCAACTCAAATCCATGCAGGGGTGTATGAGGTACTCGAATAGAAAAGAGCTCGTGAAATCTGAATTTATATGCACATGGTCGATGTTTACACATGTTTGGAGTTATTGAAGAAAATGTGATATGGGTGTGGTTCCGAATTTGAAGTCATTGCTGGAAAATATGATTTTAATACGTGAAATTATATCGATAAATACAGCACTAAAAATAACAGTACACATTCATGTATGATTGTGTCCAGAAATGTTTGAAACCCTTACGGAAATTCTGTCTGCATTTTTTCACCATTGCTCTTTCTTCCCGCATTCTAGTGCTGTTTGAATGAATATATTAATTTATGTATTTCTAACTAAAATATATCACATTTTTTTATAAACCAGAAACATTTAGATCATAAAAAAATCTTCAATACTTGAGTGAGCACGATATGCAAGGGTTACTAAGTTGACACAGTAAATGACCACTGATATTGTGTTAGTCAATGCACACAGCGTATTCTGCTAAGGCCATGAGAAGTAGATTCTTTGTTTTGCGTCCTGGCATAATCCAAATCATGCAAGGGAACAAGGAAAACAAACACAAACTCAAGAAAAAACACAAACTTGTTTGCTGGGAAATGTATACATTTTATGGGCATAAAAAGGGATCATATACAAATTTGCAGTGATTACAAACACATATCTATACCTTTTATACAATATATGTAAAGATAGATATTATTCATGGGGTAAAAATGAGAAAATACACAATGTATGCTAAAGTAATCAATATCACTGTCAATTTTGACGCACATCAAATCTTCAATTTCGTCTGATTCTGATTGAATGAAATGCGATGGTACTTTCAGACCCTTGTGATTGCTAGCTATTTGGATGTGTTTGTTTTTTCTGATTTACTCAAAATCTTACAAGCAAGGGGACGCAAAACAAAGAATCTACTTCTTATGTATTAAATACACATTTGCTAACACCCCCAACTTTCATAGTGAAGTGACTAATTGGTTTATGTTTACGTTTTAATGTGTTTTGGGTTCCTTGTTACAGCAAGGGGAGCCAGTAAAGTAGACTAACATGTTTGCATGGCAAATTTTGATCGAATATGTGAGACACTTTAAGGTGTTCACATTTGCAAGATTATGATAATATGCATTCGGTAAGCATTCTAGGTGAAAATTACATGGATTACATGGATTAATTGTTATTAAACTGTAAAGCTTTTCATACATTTATATAAAAAACAAACTAGCTGCCTTAAAGTTTACCAAGCATGCCAAAAACGTATCAGAAATTATGTTATCACAGTTCAGAAGAAAAAACAAATGACCAATAGCCCAGTAATCCTAACAATGATCGTTAATCAAAGGTGCAATTTCAGCCTAAACGAATAATGGTGATAAATAGAATGATTAACTTTAATGTTTATTGAGTATATCCCGTATGAGTAATTAATAAGGAGATTAAAAATTAACTCTAATTACTGGATCATTTGAAATATGCCTCCCTTTGATAAAAAATACCATTAAAATATTTTGAAAGGTCAGGGGCACCTCAGTAGAGCACTGTTTGTAAACAAGGAGTCCTTTCACTTTTACTAAATATGTTCCAATACTTCACTAATTAGTTCTTTTACTTTCGCATGACCTTGATCCTTTCAAACACAATATATGTTGATAAGTTAGTAAATATTTTGACAATAAACTGAACTTAAATAAAGTAAACCCCCTAAATTCAGTCCTAAATTCAATTGTTATCTACCATTGACTCACATATTCAAAATGCTGTGAAATGTGAATGCCTGCTAATCAAAACACTTTTGGCCATTCCACAAGATATTTGGATTTACGTGTACCTTGTTTGCTCAACTATGAGGTTAAAGTGACATGAAGTGGTCGATGTTCTGCAATATTTTACAAACCCATTTAATAACTCTAGAAATACAAGCTAATTTGATGAATATGGGAAATGGGAAATGAAAAAATATTCATAAACAAAACTGGCAATTTACGTCATTTTTATTTGTCAACTATAAATAAGAGAGCCCAGACATTAACACAGACAGATCAAGAAAGAAGAGAAATCTGCTTGAAACACTTTGAAACTTCTTCAAAAAGGTAATTTTATTTAAAATGATACTGATGCTAACAGTTAAGAATGTCAATTACTTATATATAGTGTTCTATTCATTACTGATTTTATTGTTTTTAAATCAACTTGCATTCAGGGAAATAAATACATATATGATCAACATAATGGGCATAACCATGTACCAGTAAACGGTAGGTTAGGCGACGGCCTTGTGAATATTCTAAGGAAAAATATCCAAAACATGGGCGTAACTTTCAGTCAGGGGGGTGCGATTGCCAAAACTTTTTTTGGTTTTCAGTCAGGGGCGTGCTAGAAGCTGAGCTAGAAACTTCAAATAAAAAGGATTTTTTCTTCTATCTTATGGTTCTTTTTAATTTGGTTACAGGGGGGGGGGGGTGTTCGCACAGTGTAGACACTAAGGGGCTGAAACCTGCTGGTCAAAATGATATTACGGACCAGTTGCAATGTTATTTTCCTATACCTAGTGAAAAAATCAACTGGTCCGTATCAAAAGTAACCAGATAATGACCAGTGGACCGGCTGTTAATGACAACACTGTGTTCGCACCCATCAAACCCCGCACTACGCCAGTAATATTGACATTTTTTAACAAAAACTGTGGAAATGAAGCTCAAAGGAAGAAATAATACCTCTATTAGCCTAAACTTGCCTCAGCAAATCTTTGATCATGACTTAAATCAGCAAATATACTAGGAGTACAGTAATTTTGATGCTAATTTTAAGTTATATTCAGATTAAACATGATGTATACAACAAGTGTACTTGTCTTGCTTGTGGCCTGCACAGTTGTAGCACCCGATCCCTTGAATCCTCCAAAATGCTGTGCAAAAGAGCTTTTTCAGGTTTGTTAATATACCTTTTTATTTGATACTAAACCCTAAATTCTACATATCATTGATTATTCATCTTATTTTGTATTAACATGTATTTCCATTATTCTATAGGCTGACATTCAATTGACTCAAGGTGTAATGATTGATGGGCAAGGCATGGCCCATTTTTTAGATGGCCGCTGGTCGTTTGATCCCCGCAATAAAACTAACGCATTTGTAGGGAAAATGACTATGTATGGGCAGGAGAAACAAGTGAAGTTCATCCAAACTGCGGCAAAAAAGCAATACAATATATTAGATGGAGCTTGTCAGGTTATACCAAAACTCTACCCTACTGTAGGTGATGGGTGCATCCCGGATAATGCAATTTTTAAGGGACAGGAAATTCTGGGGAGAGATTTCGTGGTAGGTATTATGAAAAAAATATATATCCACCTGTTTCCTTGGCTAAAAATTAAAGTAAGAGTGCACCGTGCTCAACTTAAAATCTGTGTATCAGCCTTGGGATTTCAACCCAAAATGTGGTAACTATTAAAAATCAGGATTCTGACACTTTTTTTACACAAAAACTGTGGAAGTGAAATTCAAATATTTAAATACCTCCTTTAGCGTAAACTTGGCACGCCTTTTTATATTTGCCCCACCGGATCAGGATTTTAACGAAGAATTTCTCCCGATTTAAATAAATATTTATTCTTGTCGAGATATGCACAGAAGCTCTGCTGTATAAAGAATTCTAAAACAGCGGATTATATAAAAATGGACTGTAACAAATACCCGGATTTGTTGGTTTTAAAAAAAAAAATTTTTGATATCACTTTTTATTAATTCTTAATTCTATTAGGAATTCTTGACTAAAATAAGTTCAGGAATTTATGTCAGAAAGATGGGTCTTAAATCTTTTTATGCTCAGCATAAAATGGGACATCACTTTTTATGCCAGCATAAAATGGGACATCACTTTTTATGCTGGGCATAAAAAGTGATATCAAAAAAATATTTTTTTAAAAAACCAACAAATCCGGGTATTTGTTACAGTCCATTTTTATATAATCCGCTGTTCTAATATTTTAGTTTTTGGACTGCACATTTGTTGGGTGACAGATACAACCTCGTTTTTGAGGTGACTGTAACGCCTGATTGTGTCCCTGTAACGATGACAATTACTGGTGAAATAAATAATCCTGTATTGGGCAAAATGGGTCTTGCAACAACGATGCGATTTTCCAGCTTTCAAGAAGGGGTTGAAGATTTGAGTGTATTTGATATTCCTGACTTTTGTCCAAAAGAACTTTGAAGTACGTACATGCATAAATAAAAACTACAATGTGATATATCAAAATGGTTTTCTAAACTAGTGTTACAGATAAAGGTTATTTTTATATTATTATTTTTAGTAAATATTAACGAGATTATCCTATATGAGGTTCAGGATATTGGAATTATCCATAGGCTAATATAATATATCTGCGCAAAAACCGCAGGTCCAGAGGCTAGACATATTAAACTGGCCAAGGGATACTCCCAATATCCTGAACTGACTATAGGATGATCTGTTTTTCAATTGACTTCTGGTTCACATAGTTCAACTGGCCTGAGTTCAGAATAAACTCAACTGTATGTCCAGTTTTGCTTTTTTGGCCATAGTAGGATTTTTCTGTTCTTTCAGATATTCATCGACATTTAAATTCTGATTGGCTAGAACTGGACACACCTAAATTGCTAAGCTATTATGTGAATGCTATATAACTCATATTACCTTAAGATATTTCTGGCTTGTTTAAGACATCCTTGCTGCATGAGACTTTGAGCTAAATAGATTCTACATCTCGCTGTTAGTCCAGGATCCCCTAATTCTAGGGCAATCTTAAACTGATGGTTGGAGATACGACCAGCTTCTTGAGCCTGGAAAAACGATGCATCAGAAAAATTGTCATTTGAATACTGAATGTACATGTATCATACAGGAATCATATAATGAGAATTCTAATATGATACGTGACGTCACTATCGCTAGAACAATTGATAAACTGGTTTATATTGGAGTATGTATGACCACTAAAATTCATAAATGCTATTAGAATGGTAACAAAGACCTCGATTTTATGATTTATGTCAAATATATGACCTAAAATTTTATTCTGGCCATTGCCAAAAACCTCAATTGCTACGCGATTTCAGTCTTTTAACAATGAACAGAATAAAATTGTAGGTCATATATTACGCCATAAATCATATAACCTCGGTCAGACAGTCGGTCTTTATTCCTTAAATAATATTGATTTGAAACACTGCTTTTTGGGTACCCGAGGGACCACAGCTATCAACCTACTTCTGGTAGAAAGGTCAACGTCTGAGTTACATAGTTAAATCCTAATTATAGATAATACAACTTTGATTTTTTCTGAATTTTCTTTCATAATGACAAACCTGACTTTCTCTCGTGAATTTTGAAAGAAAAATCATATTAGGCATCTATTGATCTCAGTGAATGATAATTAAAACATTAAATAACCCGTAACAGTAGCAGTAAAAGACAGAGCTACCCATGCTCTATGAGTTGGACTATCAAAGTTTTCACATCTCATGGTGTGATCCTAAAAAATGGCAAAAATAGAGCCAACAGTCCAGAAATTCCTGATCACCCCTCGTATAAGTGACTTACATGGTGCTGGAAATGATCACCAAGCGCAGAGTAGCCTCCCCCAAGTGTAGACAACCAAGCCATTGCATCTTGTATAAGTATAGAATTACAAACCAGCCTGCATACTCTGTAGGACCTAAACATCAAAATTAATACATGCTATAATAGACTAGATGCGCAGGCCCGGAGCCAGGATTTGCCAAGGGGGGGTTCAGTTTTCAAAATTTTCCAGAGGGGGTTCACATTTGACAATTTTGGCCCAAATATTGCTAAAATCACTTGAGAAGTGCTCAAAATGGTGAAAAACTACATTATTTTGCCCTGCACCCCCCCTGGCTACGGGCCTGATGCGAATAGAAATAATCTTGATTAATACGTCATTAATCATTCAAAATTCAGTCAAAGTGATGTCATATTTGCAATATACATGTAAAAGTACATCTAGAATTATGGCCTCTAAAATGGTTTATCAACTTGGAAATTTTTTTTTTGAAAATAGACCCCATGCATGCCCGTAGCCAGGATTTGCCAAGGGGGTTCATTTTTCAAAAACTTCCAGGGGGGTTCACATTTGACAATTTTGGCCCAAATATGGCTAAAATCACTTGAGAAGTGCTCAAAATGGTGAAAAACTGCATGATTTTGAAAGAATTTTTGGCTAGGGGGGGGGGGGGGGGTTCGTCCGAACCCTGCAAACCCCCCCTGGCTACGGGCCTGCCATGTTATAAAATCAGAAAAAGTGAAATATCTTTACTTGTATTGAACAGATAACATTTTCTTTTACTGGACATATTTGAATTTGCATAACTATAAGATAAATAGGTGTGATTTGAAAATTGAACAACTAAAACAAACGAATATTTAAGTCAAACTTTCTACTATCTGACCAAAACGAGCAACCTGGTGGTGAAACTGGTAACTACCTACTTGCATCTGAGTAATTACATTTAAAACCAAGTGTCTCATTCATTCGAAATCACTAATCTGCCACTAAATATGTTGCATGTTTAGACCTAATTTTAATGAACAAGAAATCACTGAAATACCATGGACATTTGATACATGTAGTGATTGAAAGCCCATGGAAATACATAAGGTAACATGCTTCTGAATACACTACAGTGAGAATAAGAAAGATACAGCCTGGACTTAAACAGTTAATTGAAATACTCACCATTTGTAATCTAAAATGCATTGATTTGGCCATGATGATTGTATAACGACTATCACATCAGTCATTTGTTGATTTCCTGCCTTATTGTTCAATAGAGACCTATCGATCCAATGCTGTGTAAACATATGTCTGTATGTATCATTTTGAGTCAGCAGTGATGTGAAACAGCCAGCTACGTGAACATCTGCTTCAATTAGGTGAATCACTTGTGTGGGGTTTGTGTTATCAAGTACAATGGGTTTGTTTGAGGTAGAATGCTTTACAATGGTATTTGTGACAGTCTCACATTGTAAACGCTCCAATAATTGCCGTTTGAGTGTTATTAGAATTGTCACATCCATTACTGTTAACGTAGACCTTCAAGTTGTAGTTCATATGATTTTACAAAGTTACATGTACTAGTGTACATATACCTTTCGATTTTTCTGAAAAAAGAAACTGTATCAATTACATTTGTACCAAGCTTATGTAATGAGCTTTGATAGCAAGTCGCTACTACAGTCTCAACTGTAGTAGCTAGCCTTAATGGTTTAGGAGCGTCTGACTCGAGAGCGGTAGGTCCTGGGTTTGATTCCTGTACGGGCATTGGATTTAGCACACTCTCTTTAAGGACAGGGTGCATGTTGGGAAATTTTCTGCATTCCTCAATTGAGTCACATGTTATTTTTCAAACAAGAATAACCCCCTTTCCACATTGTCTACATCTTCCAGGTTTGCACAAAGAGTGCACTTATGTGCCTAGAAAAGCCTTGTGAGAAGATTTGTTTTGTAAATTGTATAAAAAATGAGAAAATACAGTGAAAAAAAATTCTGAAAATTTTCTGAATTTTTTCACTGAATTTTCTTGCTTTTTATACACTTTATCAAAACATCCTTCTCACAAGTCTTTTCTAGGCACATAAGAGCACTCTTTGTGCAAAACTGGAAGATATAGACAATGTGGGGAAGGAGTGATTCTTGTTTGAAAAATAACATGTGACTCAATTGAGGAGTGCAGAAAATTTCCCATCATGCATCCTGACCTTAAAGAGGCAATAAGGACTGTAGAGAGAAAATTTGAAATTTTTTATTTTTTCTGAGCTATCAGGTCAATATTTGGCTTAATACCTTCTTTAACATACCTATTTTCATAAAATGTATGTATAAACTATCAATTTCAGCATTAAGAAGTGTAAATTCAATTCAAAGCTTCTATAAAGGGAGTCCCACTCCTAGATTTTTAAGATCCACCATGTTTCAAGAGGAATATCAGCTGAAATAATGTTCATCCAGAGGGTTTCTTTGTAGATAATGAAAATATATGTTAGTCTTGATGAAATATCCAAACCTAAATATATTTTGACATTTGTTGATGATCGTTGAATGGCCCCCCTGCACTATTTGTAGCACCTTTAAACTCTAGTATCTGGCTCACTGAGTTCATATTTTGCTTGACAATAATCAGAAAAAATGTGTATTTACGTGACATTAGCTGCCATGCAAAAAATAACAGGTGTGACAATTTCTTCAGCAAATGTGTGACAAATACGCAAATTGCATGACAGTTGGGCGGCCGGTATTCAGGCACAATAAGCATAATGAACGAAGTGCTCGGAGATTAGGATTGAGTTGGAGCCCTAGGAGCCAAAAACCCTTTGATCTCTGGCCTGGGTGTAAAACCTCAGAAGAAAATTTTATAAAAATTTATCTCTAAAATAACATTTCATATTTCAAAATGAACAGAACTTATCTGTACTTAAGATAAAATAGATGAAAGAATACCTTTTGTCGTATGATTCTAACTATGTCATTTCCTTCACGGTGAGCTGTTAGAGAAGAAATTCAAAATATTCAAGGAATTTTATGTTTTCTCATGGAGGCTGACACCTTGAAAATGCGGCATGGGTAAATCTTAAAAAATTGAATTTTATTCAAATATATACTTTGAATATACATTTTCTTAAATAGAAAATATATATCGCATTATAAAATTACAATAGAAAGTCAATTATATGTCGAATAAGGAGGAAAATGGATTAAAACCAAACTCTCGCAAGATCGCCAAGGTGCACGAGACTTGGAAAAGCGGTAAGATTTTGAAAGTATTTTGTAGGTAAATATTCTATTTGTCACAAATGTAGCCGTCCAAACTTATATATGTATTCAAACAATAATAGCACTTTAAGTTTCTACATTCCTAAAACAACGAATGAATGTCATTCAGAATGATGAGATGAGAACTTCTTCCATTTTTGTCAACTTTGCAAGTTTGAAGTTTTTTTGCATCCATTCAATGATTCATTTCAATTCATTGCAAAAGTAAAGTAAGACTAGGCTAGCGACTAGTAGTGTTGTCGCAATTAATCGAAACATCGCGATATACATCGCCAAAGCTGATTCTGGTGATGCATCGATGTCTGAAACAAAACATTTGCTAAAAATCATCCTTTCTTTATCTTATTTTGATGCAAATCGCTTACCTTTTCATGTCTTATTTCATTTTCCAATGTTTTCTGATATTCTTTCGCTTCTAAACTGTTTTAGCTAGTCGAAATGAACCATTAATCTAAAAAAATTACTTTACTTTAATTTCACCGTTACTAGAAGTTCCTCTTATTAATTTGTTCTGTTCGGTATTTTAGTGCATTAGCGTTCGGTATTTCCGTGCACTTTTCTCGGACTTTTTCTCGATGTACATCGCGATGTGCATAAGTGGTGCAACTCGGATGCCAGTACTCGCCACTCACTCGTTGAACCTGTCCAAGATAGTTACTCGAGTACGTTTTTTCAAACTCGAGTAGGCATGTTTTATTATGAAGTGTTTTAAACCCCGGGAATGATGATTTTTAGATGCACTGAACGAAACAAAATATCGATTCCGGAAACAAAATGAAAATATTTAAAAATAAACAAACACAATTATGGCATGAATAACTACATTTATTCTCACTAAATTGATACAAACTATATATAACATCAATAACATATAGAAGAAACGAAGAAATTGTATCTATTTGGTCTTCAAACAGTCGACTAGGTGAGTTTTTTATTTTTTTAAATTTTTCCCTCATTTTTGCGAGTGGTACTCGATTACAGTGGCATTTTCACACTTTCTACTCGAGTAGCATTTTTCTTGCGAGTTGCACCACTAATGTGCATCAATGTTTACTACTGAAAATTGCCGATGCATAGATGTACGATTATGACACATTGCGACAACACTAGTGACTAGGCTAGCAGTTAGGATTGTTGAATGATGATTACCCCAAATGATGATTGGGCATGCATAGTATAGTTGAAATGTTTACTTGTATGCCGCTTGTCTGGTTATATCATCATGCAAGTTCAACTTTTGTTGCATATCGAAACCAACAACAGAACGAAAAACTGTTCATTTGAATTTTAGACCTATCAGATGTTTGTAAATCAAAAATTGTGCGTCAAAACTTGTTCTATAGAAGTCAAATGAAAATGCTGTGTCTACATTTTTCGGCATTAATTAACACATCAGTTTATAAAACACCTTCACACCTATTCAAATTCGATTGGCACGTCATGATCATTGCTATTGACCCGATATAGCCTATCAAAGGGCTACTTGGTGACATGATCAAATTTGAAAAGATACGAAGATGTTTTTAAACTGATGTGTTTAACTTCAAATCAATATAGAGGCGTTGCAATTAACGGTATTTCATCCTGTAGTTGGTTTTGATATGCGATGAAAATTGGGCTGGCATGATCATAGCGGAGCATTCGCCTATGCAAATCATCTCGGTTTGGAGAACGAAGTTCATCAATCTAAATGAGCATTATCCCTGCTTCGGACAAATTTGATTTTTTTACATAATATAGATTTGAATGTCTTCTTTTGAATAGTCATAATTTAATTTGGGTAATATTTCTAGATTTTTCGCAAAAAAATATTAGTGCAGTACACTGACGAACTTCTTTCCCCAAATCGAGACTTGTATTTTATTGAATCGGTCTATTTGAGCATTATCCCTGCTTTAGACCAATTTGTTATTTTTACATCTTGTAGATTTAAATGTCCTCATTTGAATATTCATAGTTTAATTTGGGTAATATTTCTATATTTTTCATGAAAATTTTTTTAGCCCAGGAGGCTGTTCTCCAAACTGAGAATCGTCCTTTCCAGGATAACTGCTTACCTGTTCAACTTGAAATTTTTACAGATGCAAGAGCAGACTAGTACCAAATTCTGATTAGGTTAAGGGCATGCTGGGTAAACTACTTGGCGGCCATTTTTAATTTTTCAACAAATCTTGTCATCAAAATTCCAGGAAAACCACTTATCCGTTCAACTTGAAATTTTTACAGATGCAAGAGCAGACTATTGCCAAGATCTGATTAGGTTTTGGGTATGCTGGCTGAATTACATGGTGGCCATTTTATTTTATTTTTCAATTTGGCGGCCATTTTTAATTTTTCAACTTGCTCCAAATTGACCAAATTTTTTTTTAAAAACATCTACAAGTTCTCAGAAGTTCAAATCTGACCTTAGATTTCAGATTTGACCTTTCATTCACCTTCAGTGACCTTGAAAAGGTCAAAAAAGTTGATTTTCTAAATTGATATTTTGGATTTAAATTTAGGTCAGCTTAATTACAAAAGACCTACTGAGGTCTGAAAAAGTGAAATTTTCAAGGTCGAAGGTCATCAAATTAGGTCACAACCAATGTTATCTAAATTTTCCCAAAGTTCAAGACTACAAATAAATTCTTGTCATCAAAATTGCAGGAAATCTGCTAACCTTGTCAACTTGAAATGTTTACAGATGCAAGAGCAGACTAGTGCCAAGGTCTGATTAGGTTTTGGCCATGCTGGGTAAATTGCATGGTGGCCAGTTTGCTCTTCAAAGTGCAATAATTATCACTGTGTGTCTTGTTGAGTTCTTTGGTGTTTTGTTTCCAAGAAACAGTAGGTTGTTTAGTTTTTAAAGTGACATGTTGCACCAAAATTTAAATTAAAATATGGTGAAAATCTAGTGTCGATTTTTGCTTTAAAATCATTGAACGTCAGGTCAGAGACAACATTTTCTGGGAGGTTGTTTGAGTCATCTACTATATGCTGACTGAAGAACCCTTATCTTAGGGCAAGGTTACACTACAACTGTCTTCAAAGAATTTCTGGCTATGGCCTATTGTGTTAGGGTGACTTCACTTGGGGTAAAGAAAAAGAATGACAGACACAAGGAAAAATCCTCCCTACTCCTCCATACCAAAAATAAAACCAGGCTTTACTAAATAAATTAATCCCATAGTCAAATTATACTGTCACTGAGTATACATTTGTTTAATTTATTGCATTTTTGATTTTAACTATTTCAGGAATCACAAATGAACTAATTACCTGTACGAACAACTGAATGCATTAAAATGAATCCTGAACCTACCGACAGTTTTAAAGAAAATAACTTTAATTTTCAAACACACCAAATGCCAAATTGGGCAAAAAATTCTCGCGCTGGTGTTGTCATTGATTACAGCCCGACATCTCTGGAATTTACAAATAGTGGATCAACTGGAAGTGGACAAGACTATTTTGGAGGAAGTAGCGGGAATATTGAGACCCCTTCAGCTTTTTTACAAGCCCAGGTTATTTCTCCATTAAAGTTTAACAACAGTGAAGAAAGAAACAGAGTTCTACAGGATTTATCAGGAGATTATAATAATAGTGACAATTATGATGGTGATTTTAGTAGCGATGGAGGTTACCATGGTTACAGTGGTAGTTTCCCTAGCAACCATGGAACTAATAATCGGAGTCTAAATGGAACAGATAATGATAGACAAAACCTTCAGCAAAATAATCACAACTCTATTGGATATGGAAATATATCACATGGTTACAGAAGTGCATCAAATGGATTAAAATCGAGTGATTCTAATGGCTCTTTGCAGTCAAGGCAACATAGCATGGATGGAGTTAATTCCCAGGAATTTGATTCAAACTCGAACTCACCTCATACGAATGGATTCATTCAAAGTAACTTAAAACCAATGATGGGACTCAGTATTCCTAACCAAAATTTTATGCAAGCTGTTAATTTCGACAATCTATTGGGTAATTCAGAGGAGGATGGTGAAACAGCCAAGATAGGTGGCACTCATGGTGATAGCGAGGAAGAAAACTATGAAGAATCATTAGAGTATCAAAGTTTGAATGATAGTGAAGGTGAGATTGCAAATGCCTTTAGGCTTGTAGCAAGGGGAGTAAGGGGGGGGGGTCAACCATTCGAACAGGGATTGAACCTACTAGATTTTGTTGAAAATGAGTATCCTTGGCAAAAGCCAAGCTGATGATATGATTCGATTAGGAAGGGATGACCAAGAAAGTTTTTCCAGATATTTTATTGGAATAATACAAATTTATCTTTGATAATCTTCTTCCATATTCAAATATGAACAAATTGAAAAATGACATTTATTTTATGACATGCATGAATGAATTGATTTAAGCACAAGAATCTGTCCGACATACATAATATCAAACTATTGTCTGAATATGATAGTGTTCTACATTCATAATGAACATGAATTTACTAAATTTCAGAATGTCTTGATCCAAGTATAGAGCAACAACAAGCCAAGCAGCAGACAAAACTACTCCATCGTTTCAAGCAGCTTCGTGATTGGCAGAAGGAGCAGCAGGAGAGACTAATCAAGCAACAACAAGAACAGCTAGAGAAGTTACGAGGGGAACAGTCGAGGGTGCATGAAATGATCTCTCGTCAAAGGGAAGCTAAATGGGGTAATGGTCTTTTTATCATACTTTGAAAAGTACATCATCTTGTGTTGCTAGGCATGCTGGGTGAATTACACAATAGCCATTTTGCTCTTTGATAAAGTGTGATATTTATCAGTGAGTGTTTAAAAACACAGTGAGAAATATTGAATCTAACTTACTTGTTATCCACTGATAACTACCTTTAAACCTCTTATAATCAAGATGCATTCATGTCTGTGCGACTTCACCATATTGCTTAATTCACAATTTTCTATTTAAATTTTCCTTATTTTATCTTGACATTTTCAGGGTCTCCAGATAAAAGCCCCAGGACGCAGATGTCAACCCCACCCAAAGCTAAACAACTACAGAGTTCCATACCTCAAGCTTTAGCCCAGGGGGCTATGCTGAAGAGATACAGTACTGACCAAGATAACCTCACACAGGGGGCATTTATGAAGACGTATGGGGCCACTCAGTTGTCACAGATGCTCCCAGTGCTACCAGACCCTGTAAGTAAACATTCTGTAACATGGGTGGTCTTGGGTAAATGTATTTATCTGTGTGGTTGATTGGTTGATAAAACAAATAAATAAGCATAAATAATCAAAGGTCTGCACTTCAAGATATTCTCACGTCGAAAAGACATAAATGTCGTAATGGCACGAAGATGGGAAACGACATATATGTCGTAACGGCACCAAAGAGGTTATACCCCAGAATAAATAATTGCCCTCAAGTTATAACCCTTTTCCAAGTAAGTTAAAAAACCTTAGAATGTGAACACCTACAGTGGTGTTCAGATTAGACAGATTTTACTTTATTTCTATCTGGATGTATTTAACCAGTTGCAAGAAGACAATTGAACTATTTAGTTGTATGAATTGTTGTGGTATTTGACATTTATTTTATTTTATAAATGACCCAGTTTGGAGGCTAAAATACCAAAATGTATGATATTGATGAAAGAAGATTATTTGTATGTAATTCAAGTTTATATCATATTTTATTTATAATACAAGGTTGCAGATGTTAATTATCCTCCCTCTGATGATGACCAACATGAAGACCTCTACAGTGAAACAGATGACCAGAGTGTACAATTAGAAGAGGGAGTGTACCCACTGAATGACACAGCCTCAGATATAAGTGAGCCTACCGACCCAACAGTGCCATTATTTGAGAAACAACAAGAGAGATACCAGACAAAGGACCTCAGTGTTATCATTGAGGAAACAAGTTTGAATGTAAGTAAATGTAATGATACAGCTTATTGAGCTGCAGTAAATCTGTTAAAGCTGAACACCACTTGGACGAGCCAAAGTGCTTTGATTAGCAGGTGTTCACATTTCGGTGTTTCCTAATAATCAATAAGAGATGTACAGAAAATGTTTTCACATTGAGTGGTGTTAAAATTAACAAGGGATTTGGATATACAGGTTTTACTGTACATTGTTTTGCCATATCCCCTCTTAACATAGGACCATGCACAGTTTCAGATATATGCCAAATTCTGAAATTAAAGACACAGACTAAATAGCACCTCATTTATGTGTGCCATGCCTTGATAAAAAAATTGAGCTTTGTTTTAAATATTGTTCCATTATCCAAAGATATATTGTTGCTGTAGGAGTCAAAGATGTCCACCCCAGGTGCCAAAAACCATCAGCATATTGAGGAAGGTTCAACTAGGGTCACTGCTCCAACCCTGGATGACAGACCCTCAGATGAACCCCACTCTGCAAAGAGAGACAGTCAAGATAGAGCTCTGAGAAGTGGTAATGTTGATGATATTGAGATTCATCCTAAATCATTTGGGGAATTGTTAGAGGAACAACTGAAGTTGGAGGAACAAAGGGTAAAACTTTTGATTAAGTTTTCTTGAAAAAAAAATATTTTGAATAATGGTAACAATATTTTAAAGCGATTAATAATCTCATCCTTGGCCCAAGAGTAATTCATTGCATGAGCCACTATGAAAGCAATGTAGGACCAATCTTGAAGGATGCATATAAAATGGTATAATATAGTGTAAGTGTATCTGTTATACTAAATCTATATTTCGCACAGTATCATTCAAACTCCATAAAAGTCTATGAAATATACATTTGGGATTGTAAAGATCTGATCAGCATCAAAAGTGTCAGATCATTCACAATAGTCAGAGTGAAGTAGGATGGCTAGTTGATTCAGTATTCAGGGTAGTCGTCTATTCTCATCTTCAGATGAAAGAGAACCTTGCAGCGGTTCCTCCCTCTCCCCAAACATCAGGGTCAGGTAGTCGCAAGATTCCATTTCTCAGGAAAGGAGAAGGCATAGCCAGGTTTGGCATGACACACCCAATGAAGAAGACTTCACCTCAAGCAAGAAATTCTCCTGTGTCAAAGTCTCAGGTAAGATTTTTATGTAGTATGTTAATTATTTACTTATTTATTTATTTTCTTTGTACTCGAATTATGTAAAAATGTTGCTTCTTGATTTTAAAGGAACAAGCAGTGGAAAGAGGCATTTACTCTATTTTCATATGGCAATAATTGTGTTTTGTATTTAACTAGGGTGGTATATCTTTCAACTTTGAAACTGAAATGTGTGTAAGATTGTCATTTTTAGATACACAGCAGCTTGTTCTTGTTGAGTATTATTTACACGATATAGTCTGATTAATCAAATGTGTATGGTTTTATTTCAGACTACAAACCTCACAAGGAAAGTTGCAGCACCAAATTCCCCATCTAGTCACACATTTAACTCCCCTTCAAGTCACACATTTAACTCCCCAATCACTCAGATGTCAAAACTACAGAATTCACCGATAACTAAACTCAAACTGAAGCCATCTCCACAGAAAACTAACCCAGCATTGATCTTAGAAAAATCAGACCATATGAACAATGGACAGAAATTTAACCCTGCATTGAGGGCCCAGCAAGAAGCTTCTACTGAACATCCTGAGAGGCAGGATGAGGAAATTGGAGAAGTGTCATTTGAGACATCATTTCAACAAAATATGAAGCGACGTGAGAAAGAAGAACATGTAAGTTAACTTATTAGGAGCTGGTTCAAAATAGATAATTATGTCATCACCAGAAGTAGTGACATAACATATAGTCTACACCTTTTTGGTTGACAGTGTTTGGTTGTTGATGTTTTTTCAGTCGGTCAGCATTCAGCATCTGTAACAAATGGCAGGTCGTGGCATATTGCATGTTAATGCCTTGTTTACTGTGTTGAAGGGAGACATTACTATAAATACATGTATATAGATATTTATCAAAAACTCGTCCAGACCGAAATTATGTATTACAAAATACATGAGTATGAATCTTTTTGAATCTTGATTTTATTTATTTACTCTTGCGAAGCGACATTAAACATAACACAGAAGTACAGGTCATAGATTATCAAAAAATGTTGTTGTCTGTAACAAATGGCAGGTGGTGACATTTTGCATGTTCATGCCTTGTATCTGATCTGCCATGGTTCTCAATGTTAAAAAGCTTAAAATGTAAAAAACCTGCTAGTCTAAACACTGTTAGCTTGTCTCAATAGCATTAAGACAAGACATGTTTTTATTGTATATTGTCTACTTGAAATTATAGGTTGAGAAAAATGAACTGGAAGAATTTGAAATTCTTGAGATATATGCTGAGAACACCTCGTTCTGTAGTACTTCATCAATAGTTCAGAATGCAATGAATAGACAGGTAGTCCCTCCTTCGCCCCTAACCAAGTCAACCATCCTTGAAGAAAACAGGTAAAATCAGTCTCCTTATACAACTAAACTCATAAAGTACGAGGGCATATCATAAAGTTCTCATAATATGTCTCTAATTTTTTTATTTTTCAATATACTCTGATGAATTTTTCACAGAATGTGTAGTATAGAATGCTGTATTAATCTGTAAATAAATATTTGGTATAACAGAAATATTATTTAAGAAATGGTTGCCATAGTAACCGGAAATCAAGGCACCCGGGGCAAAGAAAAAATCGTGCAAGAATAGCCCCAACTAACCATGTTTCAATGCATAATAAGTTATCAAATAAGCTATGAAACACATTAAATTGTTAAATACCATGTGTTCTTGACTGTTTTGAACAATTATAATGGTCATGTGAATTGTGTGATCTCATAATGGATGATTGTAATGCTTCATTAGAAGTGATGTTAGACACTACAACTGTTTTGTCAAATATTCTAAGGAAAGTCGATTTTCCCCCTTTAGTTCATCTTAAATATGTTTAGACTACAAATAGGGCGGTAATTTTGTTGATATCTTTGCAACATATTTGTTTTAGATCATCTTTAGTATAAGCAAAAGGATTTTTCGAACTTATCTAGACTTTTTGTAGGTATGAATTTTATTTTTCTGATGATCTCTGCATCTATGCATGATCTTATTTAGTCATTTCTGATCATTAAGCTTTGATTCTCAGAGTCTGGTATCACATTTAATGAAGCATGTAAGCATCCCCTATGACATCACACAATTCACATTATCAATTTATTTTATAGTAAAAGTATTTTAACAACATATTCAAGATAACATTTTAATGTGTTTGATAATTTATGAGAGTTTATTATGTATATAAACATGGTTAATTAAGCTCATTTTCTCAACTATTTATATTTGCCCCGGGTGCCTTGATTTCCGGTTACTATGGCAACCATTACTTATCTAATATTTCTGTTATACCAATATTTTTTAATAGATTAATAGAGTGTTCTATACTGCAGATTTCATGAAAATTTCATTAGAATTTATTGAAAAATAAAAAAGTTAGAGAGATATTATGAGAACTTTATGATATACCCTCGTAGCACACCTCTGTATCTGTAAAGTGGAGCATCTTTATAAGTGGAATACTTTCTAAAATCATGTTACTCATTGATTTGTAAAGAATGAACCTTTTGTAAGTGGAGCAGTTTCCCAAATTGAACATTTCACTTACGCATATTTAACTGTAGAACTACATGTATAACCTGGGGCATAAAAGCACATGATAATGAGTTTCTATTTAAAGATTTATTTTATTTTTGAAAAGATCAAAAATATTTGAAGCCACATGAAATATTTAAAGTGCCATTTTAAAATAATGGTGGCATTGCCGAATGATGACATTTTTCATTGGATTGTTATTCTTTGAATTTGAATTTTAACGCAGATTTCAGAATTTCAGAGATATCAAAATAGATCTTAAGAAATGAATAATAACTTTATTATTTGGTCAAATGTAAAATTCGTTGTTATTAGATCATCAATACTTATGTGAACATAGCACTTATTATTGAAAAATATCATGTTCTAGGAAGGAACAAGAGTTACAGAATGACACATTGGAGAACCTCAGTTTGGACTCTGATTCAGAGTCAGAATCAAGTGACAGTGATATCCTGGATCATGATGATACTATTGTTGAAGAAAATATCCCCAATGAAGTAAGACAACCGATGCAAAGAAAAATTGCAGCCAGTAATAAGCAACAGTTTCCTCATGAAAATAAGGAAGAAGACTATTTCCAAAGTGATCAAAATCAACCAAATGTCAAAACATCATCGATGAATCCTCATAGAATATCAACTGATAACAATGTTGCTGGGTCAGAAACAGAGGATGACTTCACAAGTGGAGTGGAAGATAATGAAGACTCTGATAACGGCAAATATACAGATTCCAGAAAAGCTGTTATCATGACAACTGAGCCTCATTATGATGATGAGGAATCCTGGGGTGATGAAAGTAAGATGGGATGAATCATTGTAAATCGCTGTTATTGAACTGAACCAATGTTTTATTTGTATATTAATTATCTGTTTCGTGAAAATCAATACTTTAAAATTTACTCAATCTAATTGTTAAGCTTCTTTTGCCAATATTATTATCCCATCGAACAAAGTTCGGAGGGATATAGGGAACGCCTCCATCCGTCCGTCCGTCTGTCCGTCCATCCTTCCGTCCGTCCGGGCAATAACTCAAATACCGTTGGCCCGATTTTGTTCGTATTTTGTACACATATACCCTATGGGGGTAGAAGTTCTGCTTGAAAGCCGATTTTCAAAATGGCCACTCATTTCAAAATGGCGGCCATTTTAGTGCCGAATTTACAGTAATTTAGGTGCAATATGTAAAACTGTAATAGCAATATGTTTTAGATGTAAAAAAATTATATAGGACAGTAATAAAGCTAGAAATGTAGATATTAAAGAAGCACATGGCAGCCATCTTGAAAAATGGCGGCCTGTACTTGTTATTTTACGATTTTTGCTGTAACTCGAAAAGTAGTGGAGCAATTTTGTTCATATTTGGTATGTGAATACTATAAACATTGCACACTGTCTAAAGACACTTTTGGTAGAAAGTGGCCATTTTAAAAAATGACCGCCATTTTGAAAAAATGGCCGCCATTTTAACCTATTTTACTATAACTCGAAAAGTAGTGAAGCGATTTTGTTCATATTTGGTATGTGAATACTATAAGGATGGCACACTGTCTAATGACACTTTTGGTAGAAGGTGGCCATTTTTCAAAATGGCCGCCATTTTAACATATTTTACTATAACTTGAAAAGTAGTGGAGCGATTTTGTTCATATTTGGTATGTGAATACTAAAAGCATGACACACTATCTTATGACACTTTTAGTAGAAAGTGGCCATTTTGAAAAGAAATTTGAAAAATGGCCGCCATTTTAATGTATTTTATAATAATTCGAAAAGTAGTGAAGCGATTTTGTTCATATTTGGTATGTGAATACTATAAGTATGGCAAATGGTCTAATGACACTTTTGGTAGAAGGCGGCCATTTTGAAAAATGCCTGCCATTTTTGCTATATACTTTGTTTGTAATAATGCCTTCCATGGCTGTTCGATGGGATTCGCTACGCTTTGGCGTTGCCGTTGTTCTGGTTCAACCTTGCCAAACTTTACCTTTTTTATTCATATAAATATGAAAATATCAGAAAAAGAAATGAAGTTTATACATATTAACTTATACACTTTGCTTTAGGGAATTATTACTATTTTGTGATCACTGTAACAAATATACTCCTCAAAGTTTAAAATTACTCAATTTTATATGGTCTTGCATTTCTGTAGGTATCCATGATAAAGAGCCACCTGCTGCCAAAAAGGACACTGCTATTCCATCAACATCTAAGCTAATGATGAAGATATTCCCAAGTCTGAAGCCTCCTAAAGTGAAACCAGACCAGGTGAGAAAATGCAGTCCCATAGCCAGGGGGATTCAAAATTATTAAAAAATTAGCACTTTTCACCATTATTTGCTCTTTAAAAGTGATTTTGGGCCAAATATTTTGTCAAATTTGAACCCTTAGAATATTTAAAAGCTGAACCTCCCCCTTGGCAAAAGCTGGCTATGGGGCCTGAAATGTTTATGTGATATGGAAACTACAATGGGAAAAGACATATACTTAGAGATAACAATTGACACATCGTTGTTGTTGTTGTTTTGTGTTAAAGAGAATGAATGTAACAGCCTCGTTAGTTACTGAACCAGTATAAATTTGAGTTCAAATTAATCTCTTGAGAAAAGTACTTAATTTGGTCTATATTTTCAAACAGTTTATAAATTGTTACATTAGGGAGTTTAAGCTTGCAATGTTTTTCAAAACCTAAACATGAACGGAAAATGTTTAAGCGATGCATTTGTATGGGCGATTGGTCATACGTATAGGTTGGCATTTCGATTTTTTATGCAAGCTTAAACTCCCTAATACTGTGTTTGGAATTAACACAAGTTAAATACAGTTCATGCAATTTTACTAAGGTTCAATCCAACAAGCAAGATACTGGTCAAAAGGTGGCGCCAGCAGATGGTGTTCAATCAAAGGCATTAAGGGACAAATTACAAGAACTTGAGCATGAGATTGAGAGGTTTCGAGCAGAGAACAAGGCACTAGCAGAAATGAAGAAACGACAAGAAGAGGTATGAAAAATTACCAATATGTGGTATCCCTAAATTGGATTTGGAATTTTATTTCGGATCTGAAATGTTAGAAAAGTAGTCAGGATGTATTCAAATTCTGAATTTATTGTGTTTTCTATGTCATTGAATATTTCATATTAATCTAAATCTGGATTTGTGTACTTCTATTTTAATTCCCCCCATTACACAGTACCACAGGTTGTAAACTTACATCCACAGATCTTCAAAAATTTGGTCAAAATTTCCTAAATTTTTCTCAACTGGGATTATTTTTTGGGCCCGTCTAATTTTCAAAATCCTCAATTCTGGGGATATTACTGTCACATATTAATGTTTTGCTGAAGTATTGAAGTATAGATTATCTTTTGATTTCAGGGTCTAAGGGCATTAAAACAAGAAAGCGAAGACTTTCAAAAAATGAAGGATGAAGAGCTGAAGAAATTGCAAGATTTCAAGGCTGAAGAAATGAAAAAGCTAAAGTAAGTTACACCCATAGATGTTCGAGCTTTCATTGATTTAGTTAAATGAATCAAAATTTCATATTCAATTTAGTTGTTAAAATTTCTCATAAAGTGATTGGGCATTAGGCTAATATACACAGGTTGTCCATAAAGTCTCTACAATTACATACAGCATCTGTGTAAAGTGAAGAGAAGGGTCGGTCACGGTTCGGTACGATTCTCGGTTCTTGTCTCTCGGTTCGGTCGGTTCTTCAATCATATACTTAATAAAGTGGGCCTCATAAATTGCAATTGGTTCCACAAATATGGCAACATAAAAAGGTGTTTCACTTTTATTTTGTATTATTAGGGGATATAATTTTATTTTAAATCTTATAAATGATCAATATGGAATGATGATAGCTGATAATCATTGAATTTTTATGGAATTAAATAACTAGAATTGAACTATTTGGAGATGGCTATCAACAAGTCGCTTGCCCCGTATTAGATGGGAGGGATTTCTTTTTAAACTGGGTCTGGTTGGGTAAGACGTTTCAATATGTTTCCTCACGGCAGATGTGTTTCCTGAAAACTTAAATTATATGGATAGCACAGATGTCCTTCAGTTGGGAATAACAGTGCAGTGGGCTAGGGGGGTGTTTACCCAAAATCTCAACCTGACTTAGGACCTGGGGTAGGACACATGAAAAAGTGTATATATCAGTCATAAAAATGTTACTATGAATGGGTAATAGAAGGCAGTTACAAGATAGGGAATGAATTGAAGTCTAATAAAGATCGCAGTCTTAATTTTTAAAATGAAAAAAATTTACAAAAAGTTTCAATCACAAAAATTGGAAACCTGCAGCGTATTTCAATGTCGTGTTGCACAACCGACATAGGGTAGACGTATTCTCATCGTAGAAACCGAATACTTCCAAGCATCAAACTTCGGCATCGCGGGGAAAGGCTCTATTATGGTTTTACTAGCTCTTTGTCTAAGACTTCGAAAACTGTCCGCCATTTTTAAAACACAAGTGTTCCTGTGCGAAATTAATTCACGCTCGCAAATAGAATTATGTTCCCTCGAGACGTGGAAGCACAATGAAATATCCAAGGAGACGATTTTGTTACCGTATGGATCGTTTAAAGTTGTTCAATTGTCATTTTAATTGGTACTTTCATTCGATATTTAGATGAAATAGAGCTGTAATTATTTGCGCAAAAAATTGGTATTCATGTTACACTGTACGAAAATAAAGTATTTCCCCGGGAATGATGGAACCGTTCTGGACTCGGTTCTTGGTGAAAAACTGCGGTTAATCGAACTGAACCGTAACCGACCCTTCTCTAGTAAAGTGTAGAGACTAGAAAAATAGAATTTTCTATTGACTGTTGAAAATGATTTAAAAATGAGAATATTTGTACATGACAGTGATAAAGGGGAGAATTATGGTAACAAGATAAACATAACAGTTTGAATATATTTGTTTATAAAATATTGGCATTTATTTACATTTTAAAATATTTCAAGCATACATGTGGCAATTTTACAGCTTTTATTAAAAGGTCCATGCTAAGCAATCCTTACATAATATGATTCTCATAAGTCTGTTACATACACTGTTTAAATCCTACACATAAAGCACCCATATATCCCTGGTTGGTGATATGGTTTTGTTTTTGAAGTCATCTCTTGGAGGTGACAGACTGTCTTTAATTACATCATTGTGTGCGTCAGCTGTCTCAATGTCATCATACACAGTGTCTTTGTTATAATGCTCTTCATAGCCAATATACTCATATGATGAATGTAGTTGAGAGTTGGGGGTTTCATCATCATCAGAGTCATTATTGTTATCATTTGGAGCATCTGTTGAGTTGATATGGTTGCATTCAGTATCATCACCAGTTGTGTCATTTTTGTTTCGTTCATTGTCCTTTCCATTGATGCGCCATTCAACACTATCATTGTCACTTGATTCACCATCAAGGGACATATCAAATGAGATATAACCGTCTTCATCAACTGTGACATACTGCATGCTTTTGTTGACAAGGCTTTCTATTGAAGATGATTCCACGCTTGTTGCATCATCGTCAAATTCGATTATGATGTCATCAAGTGTACTGGAAAGAGGTCCATCGCTGCCATCGGAAGTTGTATCATCAGTTTCGAAGTGATCATCACTGTATATAGGATCTAGTTCAGATGTTATGATCTTATTTAAATTCTCATAGACATCATTGTTTTTGTTTACAGTTTTCTCTAAGGTGATTGCATTGGTATCAATGTTTGTACTGTCACCATCATAGGTGTTTGCTTTTACACTGGCAGAAATATTTGTTGAAATAATTCCATTTATTTGATGTGTATTGTTTGAACAGTCAACATATTGATTCTCAAATATGTCATCCTCCTTATCACTTTCAATAGTGTTTTCATGAGTTGAGAGAAACTTCTCTCTGGTGATTTTGATACGGTCGTGAATTTCTTCAGAATTGTTGAGAATATCATCGCAACTTTTTGAACGTTTGGTTTTTATCTCTGCTGCAGTTGGTCTGAAGTTTTCTGTGTCGCTGTCCCCACTATCTCCGCTGTCTCCACTGCTTTCACTGGCATCGTATTCTACAATCAGAGAAAACAATGTTTTAATTCAATTATATTGGTCATACATGTTATTATATGTATTTGCCCATTTTAATGGATAGAATAGAGAAAACAATAAGGGCATTTTGCATGTTAAAATGTTTGTGTTTCTATGGAAACTAATTTTGACCATTTATAACAATATAAAATCATTGTTTATTAAATATCTTACCAAATCTGAAAAAAATCTAAATTATTATCTTATTATGAAACACCCTGTCATATATGGAATGGATATGAGAAAAAGATGAAAATATTTCTATAGTTACCTTCAATTTCCCAGTCTTCCCATAGTCCATCCTGCAAGATGCTGTCACTACTCGCAACCGACCATTTACGCCATTTTTGCTGTTTGCGTAATGTCCTGAGTTTCAATTGACCAATCACCTTCCGGCATCTTGTAAACTGATTTGTCAGCATTTTGTCTTGGACTTTCATGAACGCCTGAAAGTAATAAATCAAGGCATGTAAAGATGATGTCATAAATAGTCTGGTGTCATTAAGTATGGTGTCACAAATAGCATATGAGTATTGATTGAATGTTGTTATATTGCATTATTAAGTCAATATTAGCTTTCATAACTTTTTCAACTCAATTTTATATCAATGATTTCACAAATGTACATAGATATCAAAATAGTTAACTTACCACTTCAGATGTTATCCATGCGATTGCCTGATTCATTCGGTCTTTTCTCTGTTCCCATGGCAACTGTTCTGTTGTGTCGAAGTGAAACACTTGGTTATGTTTGGCTGTGGAGAAAATATGCAATCCACTTGCTTCTCCAGTTGTGTGAGAGCTTGTAGAATAAGGATCATAAGATTGTATCCTCTCTCTTGTCAATTTTTGATTAATTGAACCTGCCATTATATCCTATCTGCTTTTCTTTTACAATAAAATGTATGTTGCTTTGAATCAAAACTTTCAACTTTAGTTAAAAATTTCTTGTATTGTATGTTTCTGTCTTGTAATAACACGTCTGTTTCTATGAGTGATCGAAATTTTCAATTCAATAAGTTGATGATTTCTTGGATTGTTTAGTTGTTGTGTGCAGTCTGAGATTCCCAGATTGTAATGGCTTCTGTCTCGCATACTCTGACCTTTATACTATTAAGTGAAATGTTTATCCTGTAATTAGAGGCTTAATTAGGTTATTGTTTTACTAGCCAAACTGCCATTGGATTAACATGGGTTTGCTGATAACTGTCATTTAGCTACAATTGGCTTATTATGCAAACATGCTGGATTAATTTCTGTAATCCAAATGTATAATACATGTGTTTCATTTCCTTTGTTTTAATCTTCCATGTCAACTCTCCTTTCCTGGCTGTCAGTATTTACATGTGTTTTATATACTATACTGATCTCAATCATGTAGGACAGTTTGAGCTACCTTACACTACATAAATTGAAACCACATTCCTTTAAATTACTTTTACTAATTTCATATAATAATTGTATAAAAATTAATATGTAAATGTATTATTTTAGATTTTTATAGGTTATTGTTATTTATTTCTATATAATTCAACATAATTATTTACATACTGTAGATTGTGAGGGGCCGAGGCTACATAGCATTATTGGCCCCCCTCTAGAAAGTTAAAAACATATAATAAATCACTGGAGTGTGTCACGGATTATTTTAGATGCAAATAAATGATACATACAGGTATATACATAAGGTGTATGATACATGTATATTACCAGGTATTGAAAATGTCATATTATTGTCTAGACAATCTGATTTAGACAAAATAATTAATCTTAATTAGTCCATTCTGTGTTTTAGGTACATTGTAATCTTGTATTATTTTAAGCCTCCAGACTGGTTTTATATAAGTTTGTAAATCAATATTTGATAGAAAATATAGTCTTAATGTCTAAATAGGTACCAAACCATGAAAGAAATCAAAAATACTGTAGTTTGTTGCTTTCATACATTTAGGTAATTAATGCATCCTCCGATCAAAGGGCTTCAAAATCCAGAATATATTCTTTCTTTTTACCCCCTGCGATAAGCAGTTAGCATTTCCCCGATTAAGAACTCGCAATCTGATTGGCTGTCGCCACACTGCGACAGAAATCATGTATAAGTCATTGCGCATAATTAGATCACATGATTCAGTTTAATCGGGCGCTTCCAAAATGGTTATAGCAGGGGGAAGAAGGAGGTACAGATTCTGGATACCTGCTTAGGAGGATGGGTAATATGAGACAGATTAAGAGTCTCAACCCATAAATCTAAAATGGTTGGTAGCATTTTGAAATGAAAATAGCATGGATTGGTCTAAATTATTATTTTTTGTATATATCTCCAGACATGAGAAGAAAGTGTTTGAGAAGTACCAGAAGTTATCAAAAGCAGTTCCCGATAAGAAAGAAAGAGAGGAAATAGAAATGCTCAAAAATCAGGTAAGATGTCTTCATTTTTTATGTCACCACCAGAAGTTGTGACATATTGTTTTAGTCTCCAACTGTTTTGTGGACAGTGTTTTGGTGTTTGGTGTTTGGCACCTGTAACAAATGGCAGGTGGTGACATTTTGCATGTTAATGCCTTGTTTGTAAACCGATAGAAGAAATAACACAAGGTGTATCTTGAATTAAATGAGCACAACCTTAAATGTATTAACTATTGTACTCCTGGAAAACTTACTTGAAGTGACAAGCACTAATAATAGTTTCCTTTGTAACAAACATATAACAAAACAAATAATGTAATTTTGTAACATTATTTATTTTCAATGTAAAATACAATATTATTTGGATTCATTAATATTTTTCTGAAAATGAATGCTAACAGTTGGTCAAATTCAACTCCCAAATTGTTGCCCAGCTGACCTCCTTAATAATCATCTACTGTCCTGGACAGTATGGTCGTTTTGAATCATTCATTTTAATGAATACTTTCCCTAAGGCTCTTCTGGGACTTGCATAGTAACCCATTTCATTACTGCGATTGTTCTTGCAGCTGAAAAGTAGAAACACAATGGGCAACATTAGAAAAATAACACTACAAATCTCTACAAAACTCTTCAAAAGTATAGAATAGAAACCATTTTTTGCTTTGGTTTTTTTTGCAACGTAAGAAATCAGAACTCCATTGATCATTATTAACCAATCATCTTGAGTGATTATATAAGTCTACATGTACATTGTACCTATTTGTAAGTACTGTTTTTGTTTTCATGAACTAGAATATATGTAGCATAACACAATTCGATAGAAAATTAAAACTTGTCCATGAGGGGATGGTAATGGAGGAGTTTTATTCCTTCATTAAATAACACTTTCAAAAAATACTGTTTTGACCAATTGAGCCCCTTATTGGTTATTCACTAACAAATGGTGCATATATCTTACAAATGGTGCATATCATATTACAAATGGTGCATTTCATCTTACAAATGGTGCATTTCATCTTACAAATGGTGCATTTCATCTTACAAATGGTGCATATTGTCTTACAAATGGTGCATATCATCTTACAAATGGTGCATATCACCTTACAAATGGTGTATATCATCTTACAAATGGTGCATACTAGTATCTACTTACTTTCCAGTAGCAAATGTCTTCCAGTTTCTGCATTGTACTGCTGTATTTTTACACCTATTGTTAATAGAGTCAGTGAAGTAGTAGACTGCCATCATGTGTCCAACGTCATTATCATTGGGGTAGAAGTCAACATGTCCTGAAAGGTTAACACAGTTTTTGGGGTAAATGTCAATTTGGCACTTTGAGACATCAAAAATCGAAATGTTGAAAATTAGCTTTATACCATCAAGAACTGGTGACATAGTGTTGATATAAGCAATTATTCATTTATGGCTGGCATTTTTTTTTTTAATTATTAAAATCATATAAACATATATACATATCAGTGATAATGACACCCTAGTGGGTATATGTCTTATCACAAGCTAAAATATTTAAAAATGCCATATTTTTAGTTACATTTATTATTGATATTACAAAGTGTGTCAAAGTATAAATTATGTAAGCCGAAATGGGAAACAAATAAAAATAATTTATAAAAGATATAATAAAACATTTTAATGATGTAGAATAGCTAAATGGAAAAAGTTCAGTGGTTAACAGTCTTTGTTGGTGATTGTAACAAATTGTTACATTTTTAACTATTGCAGTCATTTCTAAGTTGTTACATTTTGTTTTGTCAATGCCTTGTTTAAGATTTCTGAGGACTTTTTATTAATTCTTAGATTTTCTGGAATACACTTTATATATAAATGTCCCCTTTCAGCCTGAATTATAGTTTGTAATAAAGAGTTTTCACCTTTAGGTTTGATTGAGACCCAGCTTGTGTGTATGACATTGTAATAAAGAGTTTTCACCTTTAGGTTTGATTGAGACCCAGCTTGTATGTATGACATCCACAAAGTCAGCATCAGTTCGGTCAATGGTGTCATCTTTATTGTTGAGGTTGAACAAGAATTCTGCAGGGTCAAGACCTGGAATATATACCATTACCATTAGTGCTTAACCTTTTTTTTTTATTTATTCAAGTTTTAGATTTACATTATAATGTAAGGTTACATGATAATACAGTTAATACAAATATAATTAGGGTCATTTTTTATAAGAATGTATATAAGGGGGTTACAGTGCTTAACCTGCCTGTTCAAGTTGAGTTATAAGTCATATTTAATTTGGGCATTTCAGTTTTATTTTGATACGATTAATGATAACACGATCAATTGAACATCAATTGGATTCAAGATATGTAATAGATGGAGTATATGTTATTACTGATTGAGTTTGAGAATGGGCGTAGCGACATGGGGTTTGTTGGGCTTATGCCAACCCCACCCTTTTCCTCGAACCTTCATAAAGCTAACACACAGCTGACCTAATAAAGGCCTTGATTCTTTAACTTATGGCAATACATGTAGTATAACCTTCTGCACATGGCTCTCAATTATCATTTTATCACATTATTGTCTAATCTTACTTGATATTCTGCCTACTTTTGGGTTCTTCAGATGCATACCAGCATAACCTACAGTTTGCCCCCCAAGGCTGTGACCTAGAAATATAATATTACATGTATAGTCCGGCCAAGAGGAGCTTTGCCTTAACCCTGTGTATTCACCATACATTGCAGTGCTTGCATTAGGTTAAAAAATTTGTGAGTCCCTGAAGGAAGAATTTTTTTTAAAAAGTGTCGTTTCAAAAAAGTGTGTCCCCATACAAGCCTGTTTTTTAACCTGTGTGGGACGGCGATAATGCAAGCCCTGCATTTGAATTTGTTGATTAACAAAAATACTTACCCACTAAATGCACATTTTTCATGTTGAGTGATGTGTGTCTGGCCAAGAATTTCACATAGTCTGCAATTTCCTTGCCTACTGTCTTTGTTCTCTCCCTAGCAAGAGTATAGTCCAAGTTGTTGCTTCCTCTCTGCCAGTCTACCACAAACACATTCATATTCCCCTGGGTGAAGAACAGGTAATTTAATACTTGATACTTGTAGTTTAAGATGTAATGGATGACACAGGGGAATGTTTGTGATTTTGCAAAATGATGATTACAAAATCATATTCAGGTAGACAAACTGAACATATGCTCCTCATACATATGATCATATGAGACTGGATGTTTAGTATTGCCATTGTATAGCACCATAGTTTCATAACCATTATATAATATTGTTTAACAAGTTAATACCATGGCATAGGAGCATATGGGAGCATGACTGAATGTATTTGGGATCAATGTCAATGGAACTTCACCCTGGTATTACCAGGCCAGTAGTTCACTTTTCAAAAAATTTCAGGGGGGTTCACATTTAACTACTTTGGCCCCAAATTGAAAAGTTCTCAGAATGGTGAAAATTGCATGGTTTTGAAAGAATTGTTGACCAGCCCGAACCCCCAATCGGCTTCAGGCCTTTATTGCTGATGTTAAGTTTCATAGTTACATAACCCGTGTAGCTCAGCGGTAGCGCATGTACCTCTCATGCAATAGGTCCCGGATTCGATCCCCGGTTCAGGCAAGACTAAATTTGCTTGTTTGTGTGAAGTACTTCCGGGTGTTTGACTGAGTGGTCCGCAACTCGTACAAAAGGCTGTGGTGTGTATTTGTATGTCTATGTATAACTGCACATAAAAGAACACAGGGCTCCTTCAAGGAGGGGTTTCTGGGTCTATCTTCCAGGTTAATAACGTAAATTACGACCGTATATATACGGGATATACCCAAGAGGTATTGCTCACCTTCATTGGTGGTAAACAAAATACAATACTACAATACAATACAATAACCCATCGCTTACCTTTTTGAGGAAAGCCTCTGTCATCTCTAAGATGTACCAGTTATCCTGTGAGCCCAACCATCCATGTACAAAGAATTTTGTTGGTAGACGAGGGTCAAAGTTTGATTTCCTCAATGTGCTAACATCATTCACTTTGATCTGTACACCCTTATAGTCCCCCAAGCTATCCTTGCCATTCCTCCTGTAAAATATCATGAAATTCATTTACTTTGCTGTTTTTCCCAAATCTGCCTGTTTTGAGGAATTTTGCAACTGTTTTAGGCTGAAATCATTATAGTCATTTATATTTCCTATTTGTTTTCATTCATTTTGCTTGTTGTTCTTATCATGAGTTTGATCACACAGTAGCATTGGCTCAATTGGGAGACATTTCTCTGATATAGGAAGTCTCTGCTCCAGAATGAGTTTAAATATAGTCACTCAATTCAAAATGGCAACGGATTTTCATAAAAATGTAATTTTTGAAAAACTCAAATATGAAGGATTTGGTTCAAATTTTATAGATCTATGCCCACAAATGACTCTGCTCGAGAAGCAATTTTCAATATGGCCACTCAATTCAAAATGGCCAAAAATGTAATCTTTGATAACTCAAATACCAGTTGATTGATATGGTTCAAATTTTATATGATGATAAACATAATAAAGTTATCGCAATGTATTTCATTTTCATGGTGTGACAAGTGACTCACCTGTGGTGCAGCCTTATATCAGCAACCTTCTGCCCATCCTCTGGACTAAGGAGAAATCCTATAAATTAAGAGAAAAACTGTTGTAGCTATTGTAGTGCATTATTGTGTCTTTTCTTTAAAGGTTAATCCCTTTTCACTTTCTTATATGTTTTTTTCATGATATTTTGATGAAATGTTTGCCAAATAATTGTTGATTTTAGTGTCTGTTTGAAAATCTGAGTCTGTCTTAATTTGAGACCCTCCCTTTAAATACCGGTAACTAACAGAAGCCTCACTAGTTTTTACATGATAGTGTAAAAAATGACTTGCATTGTAAATGCTTTTTAAATAAGACATTTGAGATATGTATTTTGCATATTTCGGACAATTTGAAGAAATAAACAACCATATTTTGACTTACCATTTGAAAGAGCGAAACACACCCCTAGGACCACCACAGACAACATGTTGATAGTTGACTGATGTTATCATCTGAGATATTGCTCTATATTTATATCCTCTATCTTATCTAATCATACTGTACATCCATTCTGGAGGCAGACAACCCCCCAATTGAAAAAGACAAGACAATAAAGCGGTAAAATTGTTGAGAATTACTTCAATCGGATTGAACCTTTTATACATGTTCAGAAAATAATATTATCACCAATCCTAAAACTGTATAACAGTAATATTTCGATACAACATACGCTTCACATTCTTTGTAATTAATCTGGTTTTGCCTATTTGTTATGCAAAACAATTTGAATCGAATCAATAAGTATATGACCTTGTTGTTGGCAACTGTGGGAGTGGCAACTATCAGTCCATCTAATCTTATCTGATACTTACATTTATCCATCAAGATCACCTCATAATCATTCATATAACAATTAACATGTACAACAGACTAGATGCAAGTAGAATATTAATTTACACCATTAAATATTCAAAATCTAGTCAAAGTTAAATCATTTTTGGCTCACACAGTGAGCCTATGGGATTGACCAGGCGTCCGTCCGTCCGTTGGTCCGTCCGTCCGTCCGTCCGTCTGTCCGTCCGTTGGTCCGTCCGTCAACATTGGCCGCACAAATTATAACTGCTATTCGGATTGAGTCCTATCCACATTCATTTTATGCATATCCATAATGCCTATTTGACCTATCATCGCCATTTCCCAAGTTCGCTCGGTTTCCGAGAAATTGCGGATTTTGACGTCAAAAAGTCAAATTTTCTGTAAATACTAGACACTTTGTTGAAGTAGAACTTTCAAATACCTTTTAGTAGTTGGTGTATATGCAACTTATGTCCTCTGAAGATTTCAAAGCTCTTGGAATTACGGTTTTTGGTGTTTACCCTATAAAATTTGAAAAAAAGTAGGACTTTGTTATTTTCAGGAAACTTTCTCATGTGTAAAGTCAATGGCAGGTTTTGTGATTGACAAGATTCTTAAAGTTTGCCTTATACTTGATCATTTCCTGCAATAAATTACATCATTAATAGATTTAAGCATTCCCTACATATTTCTCAATATATGTCAGCATCAAATTTTTACCGTTTTTGAGATATTTGACGTCAAAAAACAGTAAAAATAAGTTATTTTTCAACTTGCTTCAATTTGACCAAATTTTTTTGAAAATCATCTACAAGTTACCAGGAGTTCAAATCTGACATTAGTTTTAGGATTTGACCTTTACTTGACCTTCAGTGCCCTTCGAAAGGTCAAAAAACTTGATTTTTCAAATTGATTTTTGGATGTAAATTTTGGTCAGCTTAATCACAAAAGACCTTACTGAGCTCTGAATAAGTAAAATTTTCAAGGTCAAAGGTCATCAAATAGGTCACACAACTATGCTATCTAAGTTTGTCAAAGTTCGAGACTACAAATCCAAATCAATATTTTTGTTTGAAAGTCAGGATATAAATTCCTCTGAAGGTTCCAAACTGTGTGAGCATAGGACCGTGGGTCCTTCATTGAAATCTAAAATTGTTTATCACCTTTGAGAATTTAATTTTCTTTGAAAACGAGAAAGAAAGGAATTTTGCCATTTATTTTACCATTTATTACCATATTGAACTGCAGGCTTTGTGTATTAGCCTTACACCTAAGTAATACTCAAGATATTATTCTAACAATTATTATTCTCAAACACCATGTTTTTCACACTCAGTCTATATGGGACAATATGGTTTGTTATCAGCCACCTGGATATAGAGTTTCCCCTGAGCTGCATTTGGGCTGGCATAAAATCCCATAAGGTTTGTTCCATTGTCAGTGCACCTGGAAAATATGGTTCACTGTCAACACACATACTCATGACCATAGAGTGCTCCCAAAGTTACAATAAAAAGCTTGATATACAGGGTGGACCAAAAATGTTACTCTTAAAGATGTTGATTTAAGAGCAAAAAAGGCTCCAAAACTTAATGAAATATGTAGTTTGGATGTTCATTTATGTCTGTGGATTATATTTTATACCACAAACACTTTATAAATACCTGAAATTTGCAATAAAAGTGCCCAAAAATTGTTGTTTCGAAATTCCCCATTTTTCCTGTATCGCGCTAGTCACGTGACCATTACACGTAGCAGTCAATGTACAGATATTACAGTACATATAATATGTTCAATATGGCAAACATCAGCGATTCTGATTCCCGGGTTCTGGGAAATGACTATATAAATCGGCGAGAGGGTGTAATTTGAATGAAGACAATTTAAGGATATGACGGAGAATCAACTAAAAATGTGAGTTCTGGAATGAAGACCCGTTGCCATTGACTGAAGCGATACTATTATCATACTCAGTTTGAATCTAGACGCGGAAAACAGATTATGAAAACAGGTTTTCTGCAAAGTTATCAAATTTAGAAGATATGGATCTTGTTTTTGAGTGGCTTAACAAGCATTTAGATACCAGACTTGGCGCTATCTCTTGTCAAATACATGCACTGGACTTGCAGTAAATTGGCCATTGCAAATTGCAAAATCAGATCGTCAAATTAAACGCTTCGTTTTTAAACCTACGCTTCATATCTTCTTCCAAAACTTTAGGATTCGATAGAGATAAGTTATAACTTGTACAGGAAAAAATGGCAGATCCTACCTTAATTTAGAATCGCTGATTTCTCTGGACAAATTCCGAGAAGAAATTGTTCAACATCGCGATCACCCCAGACAACATGTCGCGTGCGTGTCACTCTGAACTCACGTGATAAAATACGGCATCTTGATTGGTTACTACTCGTGTTGTCATGACGTGAAAAGCAGTAGTAAACACTGAATATGTTAATGAACTGCCATATATGGAACAATTGTCTTTCTGATTGGTTAACTTTACACGCCTCCTAAATGAATATAGTAGTCGTAGTAAATGATTCATTGATAACTCTGAAAGTGGGCGTGACCAGCTTCATTTTGACACCAAATTCAAGATGTTTCAAATCAAAATGGCCTCGCAAGACGAGGTTGAAATATCAGTAATTTGATACTGATATGGTCTACGATAGATCAAAATTGACTGCCCGCGTCACATGTCACGTGAGCCTATATTTGTTGAAAAATGAAAGAGATAGTGACACTTTTTAATCTTAAGTTTATACCAATATTACAAACACATATCTATTTTTTTCATTATATATTTATTTCTTCATAATACATACATTTGTTTTATACTACATTGATTTATTTTTGCAAAACCTTTGCTATTAGATCTTTAAATTATGTTCTTGCCAGTTCAGAAGAGAAAATGCTTTTGGTCAACCCTGTATTTCCCAAGACTGATACCAAGTATATATTTTAATTAATAGTTAGTTATTTAAATTGCAATGTAGAATATTCCTTTTTAGGTCATTATGTAGTGGAGTAAAATGCTCTACGAGAAGTATCTGTCGACATGGTTATATACAAAAAACAAAGAAATAAACACATTCATTAGCAAGCTATTTTTCTAAATGTGACCACTTTCAAGCCATGATTGACTGTTCATGACCCATAATACATCGATAAGATCATGTATGTTTTAATCCAATATACATTTATTTAGCATTAAATCTTGTCATGTATACCATTTGTCTTATAAAAGTCAGGAATTGTCCTGTTGAACTTTTCTTACCTTTTATTAATGAAAGCATCCCAATCTGAGCACTTGTATGCAGTGTGTTTACACTTGGAGTTGATAGACTCATTAAAGTAGTAAATCGCCATCAAGTGACCAGTCTCCCCATTATTAGGGTAGAAATCAACATGTCCTGTTTATAAATAGATGTGATAAACTACTGTTAGGGTAGAAATCAACATGTCCTGTATATACAGTTAGATGTGATATTCTACTTTTAGGGTAGAAATCAACATGTCCTGTATATACAATAGATGTGATAAACTACTGTTAGGGTGAAAATCAACATGTCCTGTATATGAAATAGATGTGATAAACTACTGTTAGGGTAGAAATCAACATGTCCTGTATATGAAATAGATGTGATAAACTACTGTTAGGGTAGAAATCAACATGTCCTGTATATACAGTTAGATGTGATATTCTACTTTTAGGGTAGAAATCAACATGTCCTGTATATACAGTTAGATGTGATATTCTACTTTTAGGGTAGAAATCAACATGTCCTGTATATACAATAGATGTGATAAACTACTGTTAGGGTAGAAATCAACATGTCCTGTATATACAGTTAGATGTGATATTCTACTTTTAGGGTAGAAATCAACATGTCCTGTATATACAATAGATGTGATAAACTACTGTTAGGGTGAAAATCAACATGTCCTGTATATGAAATAGATGTGATAAACTACTGTTAGGGTAGAAATCAACATGTCCTGTATATGAAATAGATGTGATAAACTACTGTTAGGGTAGAAATCAACATGTCCTGTATATAAAATAGATGTGATAAACTACTGTTAGGGTAGAAATCAACATGTCCTGTATATAAAATAGATGTGATTAACTACTGTTAGGGTAGAAATCAACATGTCCTGTATATGAAATAGATGTGATAAACTACTGTTAGGGTAGAAATCAACATGTGCCCCTCAGTAAAAGATAGATGTGAGAAAATTGTTATCACATGTATTTTATCATAAAACCATTTTTCAGGGTAGAAGCTTGACACAGTAACTCCTGGATTTTCTTGAACATCCCTTAGTGGCAAGGAAGATGTATTCAAGCCTATTTCTCACCTTTCGGTTGCTCAGATATCCAGCTTGTGTGTATAACATCAACAAAATCTGCATCAGTTGGGTCTAATACATCATCTTTGTCCTCAAGGTCAAAACCCAACTCTGCAGGGTCAAGTCCTAAAAACTCACTATTTTGGATTATAAGAATTAATGGATCAAAGTTCCTTGTTCAGCAAATATATTTATTAAATACCCTCGGGTGTTAATTTATTAGTAAAAGCCATTTATGTAGTCAATGTGTCATGTTAAAATTTGTCTACAAATTCATACTCAATACTTTTTGTACTATTATAAACGTTTTTCATTGTGCAATATTTTTGTAATGCTCTATACGTTATACAAACCCCAATATTTAACAAAACTTTCATTAAAATTTCTTCCATACCTGAGATGCGACCGATCTTTGGGTTCTGTAGCTGCATACCAATATATCCTGCTGTTTGGCCCCCTAGACTGTGACCTAACAATTTTTGAGTTTCACAATTACTGCCTTAACTTTTAACTGGATGGTAATTTTAATTTTATTTCTAACATAATCTCGCCATGTTAATAGATGAAGACATTGTTTCACTACTCTGCATTAGTAATAGTATTTTCACCCGGATTTAGTAGCTCCATATGTGGCACATAAATTTAAAAGTTCCCTATGTGGCACATATGTTCCATTATTTGTTACATAATGACAACTCAGTGATCGCCCTAGTTATAAAATAAGTACATGTTCTTAGCACTGCACCATCCACTTGAAATTTTGAAAAATAGGCTTGCACCAATCTGAAAATCCACTTGCACCCACTTGTCGAATGAGAAAATTATGAGAGAACTGTTGACTGATTTTTCACAAAAAATCTTGCACAAACACTACTGAAGTCTGTAACTTGACGCGTGTGCTCCTTGCATTTATTCATTGATAAACATTTAAATATAATACCTATGACATGAACTGTATTCATATCCAATCCAGTATTAGCTGCAAGAAACTTAATATAATCTGCAACCTCTCTTGCCACAACCTTTGTTAGCTCTCTAGATTTTGTGTAGTCAATGTTGAATGAGCCACTGGACCAGTCCACTGTGAACACATTCATAGAGTCCTATAGTAGAAATACAAACCATGAATCTGCATTTATGATGTTCGGGGACAATAAACCTGTTAATAATAATACCCTGATATGTGGAACATATCAAAAGTGAAACACTTTTTCGAGGTACCAGAGATATTTCGCATTTTGAAATTAAAATATTATTTGATCTTATTGTTACAAACATAACATTTATCTTTTGAGATCTGTTTTTTATAGTAACTTTTTTTTGTTATTAAATGTTGTAATTCTAGAGAGCTCACCTTTATCAATAAAGCATTTGTGTTCTCAGCCATGTAGTCATCTTCTCTGCCAGCAAACCAGCCATGAATGAAGAACTTAGTGGGAAGGGCAGGGTTAAAGTTGGAGTCTCTCAAGGCCTGAGCATCATCGTAGGCTATTGTCACACCCAGATAGTTGCCAGATGAATCAACTCCATTTGCCCTAATATGGTAATATTGTCCTAATATGGTAATATTGTCCATATATGGCCAATTTGATATTTATTTGTAATATGAGGTTTCCAAATTGTGTAATTATTCAATGTACAACTTTGGTAAATTCTCTAGGTCTTACTCAATTTTTTCATTCATAAACATTGTGAAAACAAAATGGCAGTTGTTTAAATTCAAATTTTGTAATTATGACATCTCCATATATGGCAGATGCAGAATATCGAGATGGAAGCCTTGGATCTAATCCTCCTTGCTTATAAAACTAACTTAACTTCCCTAGAACTGTTTTTTGATGTTTTTATATCACCCTTAAACCCTTACCTTGTATGGAGCTGAAGATTAGCTACTCTCTCATCACCACTTGGCTCAAACAAGAACCCTATAATGTCAGAAACTACAATGTTAAATAGTGCTTTAAATAGCTACAATTCAACATTTAGTGACCTCCATACCACCATATTGAACATTAGAATATGATATGGCACCCTATTGAAAATATACATGGCACCCTATTGAAAATATACATGTCACCCTATTGAAAAGGTATATGCCACCCTATTATAATTATACATGCAACCCTATTGACAATGACATTCCAACCTATTGAAAATCTGTTTGAGCCTGTCAGAAGAATTATAGACATATTTTGACTCAGGTGTTGAGAAAAGACTGAGAGATTTTAATTTTCTTATGCTGTGTTTGAGATTAACATACAATTAATCTTATATATATAATTCATTCATTTTAAGTTTTTTATTAGATATTTCATGGATTGTGAAGTGTTTTTTTTAGTATAGCGACTATGACTAAAAAAAGTCTAAAAGTAAAAAGTTTCAATTAAATTGAAATTACCTTCTGAAATCCCAATAAGTATGAAAGCAAAAATGAGAAGTGACGCCATGTTGGCTATCGTTACATGTAATGCTATGATTATGGGATGGGTGCTTCAGTCTTATCATATGATATATGATAATCAAGAGAGATGGTGATGGGTTGATACATTGAGATAACGTGTTGTTTACCATATGGATGTTTGTCATGTGAATTATGATTTTCATTAAGATATACTAATATGATCGAGAGCTTTGTACTCAATTATTTAGAATTATGGAAATTGTCAATTCCCTTTTGTATTGCCTGATTGAGTAAGGTTGAACATAAATAGTTATGATTAGGTCCCTGGAAATACCAAGTTACCATGATGTATAAATGACACCTTCATTTATTTTTCAAGCATTAAAGTAGGTGCTGCACCCACTTGAGATTTTAATAATAGGCTTGCACCCACCTGAGAATCAATTTGTACCCACATGATAATTCATCAAGTTGTCACTATTATTTAATTTAAGACATCTTTTGAAATAAAAATTTTAGATAATTTAGAAATAATTAACAATGTTATATAACTTTTTATTTATATAAACATGCATTAATAAATTCATTAACATTTAGTAATTAATAGACTGAAAGCATATAGGCGTAGCCAGGTGTGGTGCGCACACACCCTCCCCCCAATTTTGAAGCACATGACTGAAAACCTGATTTTTTGGGCGATCGCATCCCTCCTGACTGAAAGCTGGCTATGCCCCTGGAAAGCAATGGTCATGTTCCAGTTTTCCAATTAATCACAAGTGTCAACCTCATAGGGATTACAACAAAACAAATGCATTAGCAAGATTAATAAAATGACCCATATTTTAATCCCATTAGTACCATGTTGACATTTTGGAGATAAACTCATTATTAACTATAATCTAAAAAGTCAGTGGTCTAAGAATGGAAATCACAAACTGAATAATAAGAATTATTTTTATGTAATAAACGTTCTTATAAGTTTATCAATATATAGAAATATAGGTTGAGTTTTACTGGGGTTGAGTTTTACAGGGTTGAGTTGACTTGGGGTTGAGTTTTACTGGGGTTGACTTGACTTGGGGTTGACTTGACTTGGGGTTGAGTTTTACTGGGTTGACTTGACTTGGGGTTGAGATGACCAGGAAGCGAAAAATATGCCTATCTGTATTGTGAAAATTATTAAGCTAACTTCTCTGGATGATAGCATCATTTGTATGTACATGGTCAGTAAGAAAGGTCTATTCACTGTTGAGTTTAGCTCTCTGATCTCCAAGATGAATTCAACCTGTAGAATAGTAAAGAAGTGTGAGAAAAATTGGAAAAATATTTGACTAAAATGTATTCACTATATACATATTACTCCTTCCAGCTCTCTGATCTCCAAGATGAATTCAACCTGTAGAATAGTAAAGAAGTGTGAGAAAAATTGGAAAAATATTTGACTAAAATGTATTCACTATATACATATTACTCCTTCCAGCTCTCTGATCTCCAAGATGAACTCAAACGCAAGGAAAGTAGATGGAACGCGAGTACTACACGCCTGAGGAACAGGGTGGAAACTGTCGAGAAAGAAAATACTGAGTATAAAGAGGAGCTAAAGTTGGTCGAGAAGAAAAGACTTGAACTTTGGCAGAAAGAGCAAACTTTAATCCAACAATCAAAGGTAACAGATTTTGATAGATTTGTTGCTTAATATTGAGAAAGCTCAAATAACAGTGAAGTATTTATATAGTTTTTTAAGATGATTTCAATTTGTTCAAGATTTGTGGAGTTGTTATATGATTTACTAAATATTTAAAATCTGAATTAGTTTTGATGTCACCACCACGAGTGGTGGTTATATATTGTTGTTATAGTCTACGACTTTTTTTGTGGACAGTGTTCAACAGTTGGTGTTTGCCATTCAGTGGTTGGTTTTTGGCATTCAGTGGCTCATGCTTGGCAGTCAGTGTCTGTAACAAATGGCAGGTGGTTACATTTTGCATGTTAAAGCCTTGTTTGTCCATTATTTTTAAAATGTAGTTCAGACAAGTACAGTACAATCTGTCAAGTCCTAACATAGCTTGGATTGGCTAGAAGTATTCAGATAACACATTTGGGACTGAGAAAAGGTGTTCACATTAAGAGATGTTCATATTAGAGAGGTGTTCAGATCTACAGGTTTTACTGTATTATCATGAGCTGACACTGGGAAAGGCCAATTTGTTATGATAAGAATTAAACTATTTCAGAGAAGGTCATCACTCGAATGGGATAAGCAGAAAAGATCCTCTCAAAAGACATCTTCATACATCACCATGGAAACACTATCACCATCATCAAATTCACCACCCAACCCAACTAATGCTAATGTAAGAACAAGCCCAAGAACCATACATAGTGACTATAGTAATGAACCACTTGCCACAAGGCAGCAGAATCAAAATGGTGATATAATGAAGACTCATAAGGAAAAAACATTAAAAAATACAAAACAAACTGATACAGTGATGTCAAACCCCAAAAGTGCCAATATAAAAGATTCGTCTCTAGTACAATCAAATAAATCTGAAGTGACCAATAAACTGAAGCAGCAAGGTGGAGATTTGGGGCTAAATAAGGGGGGAAATAGGAATAATGGTCCAGTTCTTAAGCCAAGGTCACCGGGGCAGGAAGACACACCTAGGAAACAGATACAGATGGAAACAAATAATGAAAGGTAATGACAAAGAATTAATAAATGCTGTAGTCATTTCACAAATTTGTCCAAAGCAGGGATAATGCTCATTTAGATTGATGAACTTCGTTCTCCAAACCGAGAATCGTCCTTTAAAGGCATTTATTACTAGGTACAACATCATTCATCATAGCCTCACATATTTGTATTTTAGCAGTGTATCAGCTGATCAGATGAAAGCAATACCCAGAAAGCAAACTACAAAGTTCAGTGTTGCCAACGAAGTAGAAAAAGGTGATAAGGAAAACTTTGAGGAACTACAACATGCGGATGGAAAGGTGAATAATGTGATCGTTATTGTGAATTATACTTAACTTTCCTTGCCCCCCCCCCCCATTCTAGTTCAGTTAAATTACTGGTTGAGCCAGGTCAAATCCAATTGGCCTCATTTATTAATGCCTATATTGTATTGTTAACATCCATGTTAACATCTATGCAAAAAACTGTTTAATGATTTATTCAAAGTTGAGAGACAGTATGGAGTCAATGAAAAAGAAGAAGTTAAAGTGGGCTAGATCTGATAATGATTTAATTTTATGATAAATAATGTATTTAAAAAGTAATATTCAGTGATATATTTAAGGTTGAGAGACAGTATGCAAATGGAGCCAAAGAAATCTATTTCCCCAATGGGACTAGGAAGCAGATCTCAAGAGATGGCAGTTACATTATTGTATCTTTCTTCAATGGGGATGTGAAACAGATATTTCCTGATCAGAGAGTGGTATGTATATGGGTTACATCATTGTATCGTTCTTCAATGGCGATGTGAAACAGATATTTCCTGATCAGAGAGTGGTATGTATATGGGTTACATCATTGTATCGTTCTTCAATGGCGATGTGAAACAGATATTTCCTGATCAGAGAGTGGTATGTATATGGGTTACATCATTGTATCGTTCTTCAATGGCAATGTTAAACAGATATTTCCAGATCAGAGAGTGGTATGTATATGGGTTACATCAATGTATCGTTCTTCAATGGCAATGTTAAACAGATATTTCCAGATGAGAGAGTGGTATGTATATGGGTTACATCATTGTATCTTTCTTCAATGGCGATGTTAAACAGATATTTCCAGATCAGAGAGTGGTATGTATATGGGTTACATCAATGTATCGTTCTTCAATGGCAATGTTAAACAGATATTTCCAGATGAGAGAGTGGTATGTATATGGGTTACATCATTGTATCTTTCTTCAATGGGGATATTAAACAGATATTTCCAGATCAGAGAGTGGTATATATGGGTTACATCAATGTATCTTTCTTCAGTGGGGATGTGAAACAGATATTTCCAGATCAGAGAGTGGTATGTATATGGGCTACGTCAATGTATCGTTCTTCAATGGGGATGTTAAACAGAAATTTCCAGATCAGAGAGTGGTTTGTATATGGGTTACATCATTGTATCTTTCTTCAATGGGGATGTTAAACAGATATTTCCAGATCAGAGAGTGGTATGTATATGGGTTACATAAATGTTTCTTTCTTCAAAGGGGATGTTAAACCGAAATTTCCAGATCAGAGAGTGGTATGTATATGGGTTACATAAATGTATCTTTCTTCAAAGGGGATGTTAAACAGATATTTCCAGATCAGAGAGTGGTATGTATGTGGGTTACATCAATGTATCTTTCTTCAAAGGGGATGTTAAACAGATATTCCCAGATCAGAGAGTGGTATGTATGTGGGTTACATCAATGTATCTTTCTTCAAAGGGGATGTTAAACAGATATTTCCAGATCAGAGAGTGGTATGTATATGGGTTACGTCATTGTATCGTTATTCAATGGGGATGTGAAACAGATATTTCCTGATCAGAGAGTGGTATGTATATGGGTTACGTCATTGTATCTTTCTTCAATGGGGATGTGAAACAGATATTTCCAGATCAGAGAGTGGTATGTATATGGGTTAAATGTATCGTTCTTCAATGGGGATGTGAAACAGATATTTCCAGATCAGAGAGTGGTATGTATATGGGTTACATCAATGTATCTTTCTTCAATGGCGATGTTAAACAGATATTTCCAGATCAGAGAGTGGTATGTATGAGGTGTCCTAAAAGGGGAATCCCAGGAAAATTAAGTTCATTAAGTATGTGGGGTACAATGATTGATGTGAGCTTTATGGTTTCCAAAGGTTGCCTCTTAATATAAAGTGTTTAGGAAATCAAGAACTTTCAATAGTAAAGTTTCAAGTAAAATGAAAAAATTTAAATAAAGTTTGACGTAATATGTTGCCTTTAATCCAAAAGGCCATTATTTGTCATCTTCAAATGTTGTTTGTTTCTACAAAGTCACAAATGTAACTAATGCAAAAATGTCTATCTTTATACTAGTTTGTGTGTATAATCGTGCTGATTTCATGTATTGCAGGTGTACTACTATGCAGATGCTCAAACCACTCACACCACCTATACTGATGGTCTTGAAGTTCTGCAGTTTGCAAAGTAAGACATATAATGTATATTATGCGAGGAGACATGCTTTATATTATTAACTATCTTTTAGATTCTAAAGTACTTTGTTTCATTCAGGTCTACTGTTACCCCCATTTTTAGCGAATATTTCTCTATAGCCTAACCATTTAAGGGTTAAAGATGCATTGACATCTTGGATTGTTATATCATGACCCCCTGTGTCTTTCTTAGGGTCAATAAAAGTTTAGTGAGGACTGATAATTTATTTACATCTGCTATGAGAATGCTCAATAAGGTCATCAACAGGCCATGACACCCTATGCCATTCTTAGGTTTAATAAAGAGTGGAGACTGATAATTTCCATCTGCTATGAGAATGCTCAATAAGGTCATCAACAGGCCATGCCACCCTGTCATTCTTAGGTTTAATAAAGAGTGGAGACTGATAAGTTACATCTGCTATGACAATGCTCAATAAGGTCATCAACAGGCCATGCCACTATGCCATTCTTAGGTTTAATAAAGAGTGGAGACTGATAATTTCCATCTGCTATGAGAATGCTCAATAAGGTCATCAACAGGCCATGCCACCCTGTCATTCTTAGGTTTAATAAAGAGTGGAGACTGATAAGTTACATCTGCTATGACAATGCTCAATAAGGTCATCAACAGGCCATGCCACTATGCCATTCTTAGGTTTAATAAAGAGTGGAGACTGATAAGTTACATCTGCTATGAGAATGCTCAATAAGGTCATCTACAGGCCATGCCACCCTGTCATTCTTAGGTTTAATAAAGAGTGGAGACTGATAAGTTACATCTGCTATGACAATGCTCAATAAGGTCATCAACAGGCCATGCCACTATGCCATTCTTAGGTTTAATAAAGAGTGGAGACTGATAAGTTACATCTGCTATGAGAATGCTCAATAAGGTCATCTACAGGCCATGACACCCTGTCATTCTTAGGTTTAATAAAGAGTGGAGACTGAAAATTTCCATCTGCTATGAGAATGCTCAATAAGGTCATCAACAGGCCATGACACCCTATGCCATTCTTAGGTTTAATAAAGAGTGGAGACTGATAATTTCCATCTGCTATGAGAATGCTCAATAAGGTCATCAACAGGCCATGCCACTATGCCATTCTTAGGTTTAATAAAGAGTGGAGACTGATAAGTTACATCTGCTATGAGAATGCTCAATAAGGTCATCAACAGGCCATGCCACCCTGTCATTCTTAGGTTTAATAAAGAGTGGAGACTGATAAGTTACATCTGCTATGAGAATGCTCAATAAGGTCATCAACAGGCCATGACACCCTATGCCATTCTTAGGTTTAATAAAGAGTGGAGACTGATAATTTCCATCTGCTATGAGAATGCTCAATAAGGTCATCAACAGGCCATGCCACTATGCCATTCTTAGGTTTAATAAAGAGTGGAGACTGATAAGTTACATCTGCTATGAGAATGCTCAATAAGGTCATCAACAGGCCATGACACCCTATGCCATTCTTAGGTTTAATAAAGAGTGGAGACTGATAAGTTACATCTGCTATGAGAATGCTCAATAAGGTCATCTACAGGCCATGACACCCTGTCATTCTTAGGTTTAATAAAGAGTGGAGACTGATAATTTCCATCTGCTATGAGAATGCTCAATAAGGTCATCAACAGGCCATGACACCCTATGCCATTCTTAGGTTTAATAAAGAGTGGAGACTGATAATTTCCATCTGCTATGAGAATGCTCAATAAGGTCATCAACAGGCCATGCCACTATGCCATTCTTAGGTTTAATAAAGAGTGGAGACTGATAAGTTACATCTGCTATGAGAATGCTCAATAAGGTCATCTACAGGCCATGACACCCTGTCATTCTTCGGTTTTAATAAAGAGTGGAGACTGATAATTAACATATGCTATGAGAATGCTCAATAAGGTCATCAACAGGCCATGACACCCTGTCATTCTTCGGTTTTAATAAAGAGTGGAGACTGATAATTAACATATGCTATGAGAATGCTCAATAAGGTCATCAACAGGCCATGACACCCTGTCATTCTTAGGTTTAATAAAGAGTGGAGACTGATAAGTTACATCTGCTATGAGAATGCTCAATAAGGTCATCAACAGGCCATGCCACTATGCCATTCTTAGGTTTAATAAAGAGTGGAGACTGATAAGTTACATCTGCTATGAGAATGCTCAATAAGGTCATCTACAGGCCATGACACCCTGTCATTCTTAGGTTTAATAAAGAGTGGAGACTGATAATTTCCATCTGCTATGAGAATGCTCAATAAGGTCATCAACAGGCCATGACACCCTATGCCATTCTTAGGTTTAATAAAGAGTGGAGACTGATAATTTCCATCTGCTATGAGAATGCTCAATAAGGTCATCAACAGGCCATGCCACTATGCCATTCTTAGGTTTAATAAAGAGTGGAGACTGATAAGTTACATCTGCTATGAGAATGCTCAATAAGGTCATCAACAGGCCATGACACCCTATGCCATTCTTAGGTTTAATAAAGAGTGGAGACTGATAATTTCCATCTGCTATGAGAATGCTCAATAAGGTCATCAACAGGCCATGCCACTATGCCATTCTTAGGTTTAATAAAGAGTGGAGACTGATAAGTTACATCTGCTATGAGAATGCTCAATAAGGTCATCAACAGGCCATGACACCCTGTCATTCTTAGGTTTAATAAAGAGTGGAGACTGATAATTAACATATGCTATGAGAATGCTCAATAAGGTCATCAACAGGCCATGACACCCTGTCATTCTTCGGTTTTAATAAAGAGTGGAGACTGATAATTAACATATGCTATGAGAATGCTCAATAAGGTCATCAACAGGCCATGACACCCTGTCATTCTTAGGTTTAATAAAGAGTGGAGATAGATAATTTCCATCTGCTATGAGAATGCTCAATAAGGTCATCAACAGGCCATGCCACTATGCCATTCTTAGGTTTAATAAAGAGTGGAGACTGATAAGTTACATCTGCTATGAGAATGCTCAATAAGGTCATCAACAGGCCATGACACCCTGTCATTCTTCGGTTTTAATAAAGAGTGGAGATAAATAATTAACATATGCTATGAGAATGCTCAATAAGGTCATCAACAGGCCATGACACCCTGTCATTCTTCGGTTTTAATAAAGAGTGGAGACTGATAATTAACATATGCTATGAGAATGCTCAATAAGGTCATCAACAGGCCATGACACCCTGTCATTCTTCGGTTTTAATAAAGAGTGGAGACTGATAATTAACATATGCTATGAGAATGCTCAATAAGGTCATCAACAGGCCATGACACCCTGTCATTCTTAGGTTTAATAAAGAGTGGAGACTGATAATTTCCATCTGCTATGAGAATGCTCAATAAGGTCATCAACAGGCCATGACACCCTGTCATTCTTAGGTTTAATAAAGAGTGGAGACTGATAATTTCCATCTGCTATGAGAATGCTCAATAAGGTCATCAACAGGCCATGACACCCTATGCCATTCTTAGGTTTAATAAAGAGTGGAGACTGATAATTTCCATCTGCTATGAGAATGCTCAATAAGGTCATCAACAGGCCATGACACCCTATGCCATTCTTAGGTTTAATAAAGAGTGGAGATAGATAATTAACATCTGCTAATGAGAATCTACATTTAATACAGGAATACATGACCATTTAAGTCATTCTTAGGATCTAGAGATAATTTGCATATTTTGTATCTGCCATGATATGATCAATGAACTACATTTATGGTATCAAAAATAGAATATTACATTTAATTTGCTTTTCAATGTACTACTACAAAGTAGCCTATAAAATACCATGATTTTCTCTTTTATAGCTATCATGTTCAGTAAACTGAGTTCATTATATTGAGTGGTACTGTGTATTTTTCAGTGACCAAATGGAAAAGACTTACCCCGATGGAACTAAAGAGATAACTTTTCCAGACCAAGCTATAAAGTATCTTTATCCCAGTGGTCTTGAGGAGAGCATATTTCCCGATGGTATGTTTTCTAGCTTTGTTCAAAGATTAATTTCAATATTAATATATCAAGAATTTTTGATTAGATTTTTGCAAACTTTTAAATTGGCAACCACTTTGGTTGTTGAAAATCAGTAAGCCAAAAGTGTGTCACTGATTTGCTTCAGGTTGTTAGGTCAGGTACACTTGTTTTTTGTTTGACTAACAAATACCTTTATCAGGAAGTAGAAATATTGGAATCTTACCTTTTACCTGTAGAATCCTCAATATCAGTCATCCTCTTCAGCTCAGCTCAAGTTGTGCAAATAATGTTTGAGGTGAAAGAGAACAGAAATGAATATGTAGAGGCACATAAATCCCAGTATAAGGTCTTTATATCACCACCACAAGTCAGCGTTTTGTCAACTTTTTTGTGGACAGTGTTTGGTGGTTGGTGTTTGGTGTCTGTTACAAATTGCACGTAGAGACATTTTACCTTGCAATTAAAATAAAATACAATTTTAATCATATTTTTTTAGGTACTGTCATACGTGTAGATACACAGGGAGTAAAGACACTGGAGTTCTCTAATGGACAGAGGGAAATTCATACAGCACAATACAAGGTACACATTTACACGAGTTGTTAACAATAAAGGGACCACCTCTTTTGAGGGAACACTTGCCTACAGAAGATGTTTTGTTTGGCAAAAAAAACGTTTCCCCTTTGACTTCTACGTTAAATAACTTTTCTATAGTGAAAACTCTACACATTGATATATATCTTTCGAAGAACACTGTTTCATTATAATGGAATATAACAGGGAATTTTGGTAAAAATTATGACCATTTCCATAGGAAGTGTAATGGAGACTGTTACTGAAATCAATTTTAGAGGGTGGTATATAGTCATGGGCATGCATGCTCAAGGGAATTGATTGTACTCTCTATAGACAACAAATATTTATCTGTAAATAGAACAAGTTAAAAGCCTTAGAATATTGAAGAATAATGTAAAAGTTTTAACTTGTTGAAACTGTAATCATTTGAACCATATCCCCTTATCAGTGACAGTAAAATATGGAATTGAATAAGACCATGTACCAGAATAATACATAACATCATTGGCTAAAATCACTGTGGTAATCATATTGGTTGCTGTGATAACAATATTAATCTTTAAAAAATATCAGTCAGAGTGAAGATTTATCTTGAATCCCGGATAACAGACATTGTATTGTAATATAAATGATATATAATATTAACAATATTTTCAATTGAGCTATTTCTCTAGGCACCTAGTTTATTACCCTTATCCCTCAAAAACTTATTTGATTTTTATTCCATCTGCCAGCAAGCCAAATTGTATAAGAAGTATGCTTATTTTCAATTTAGTTTCTCCATTAATCACTGCTTCAATAAGTTGTCACAAACAAACCGCCTTTTTGTTGCTTAAGTTACTATAGCAACAAACACTCTGGCCAATCAAATGGGAAAAGCTTGATATTTACAGAATAAAAAGGTTTGTGCTACAACCCCTCTTAATTTCATCTAGATTGGTGCAACATTAAAAAAGTTACAGTATCTTTCACCTCATTTATTGGACACCCTGTAAGTCATATTGATCCTTCAATGCTTCAATATAAGTCATTGACATAATATTTAGTGTTGTTGTATGTCATTATACAAGGGTTGTTCAAAATCAAAAAGTTTTACACAAAGTATCTAATTATAAAAATAATGAACCAATCTTGTTCATATTTGTTAAGTTTGTGCCCCTATCTTATTCCCTTACACTGTCAAGTTTTCATGTATGTATAATTATTACTTTTCATTTTATGGTTGCTATGGTAACCAAGGTGATGACGGCACGGTCCATATCACTTTTAAAGAGAAAACAAGTAATACCACAAAACATGCCCAAATGTGTATAGGGAAAGTCTCAGTTTCCCTATACAAAATAAGAAACTAGAATTGATTGTTAAAACATATGTGTTTCATAATTTAACCCACATACCTCTCTCGTAGCTATATAACTAAACTCGAATTAAATAGTGCACTAGATAAAAGAGCTCTGAAACTTGTGCATTTGTATGATGTATGTTGAAATATACCCTGATTACTGAGAACAACTCATCTGCTCATCTTCAGATTATACAGGCTTATGCCTAATGGGTGTAGAATATCTGCCCAAGAAGGACTTTACATTGTGGTTCACATTGTGTATGCTAATGCCAATTGACAAGAGAGTTTTGCTATTTGAAACTACAGGTATTTTCAAGATGGAAACTGAATTTCAAAGTGGCCGCTATATTTCATAAAGATATTTTTGATAATTCAAATATCAGTTGATGGATTGATTTAAGTTTTATATGCTGATGCATAAGGGACACAGGAGCTCTGTTCAAGAAAGAATTTTCAAGATGGCAGCTGTATGTCAAAATGGCTGCCATTTTTTTGTAAAAGAATGAAATCTTGATAGCTCAAATACCAAATGACTGCCATTATTTGTAAAAATAGTAATCTTAAATAATTCAAATTCCAGTGGATGGATTTGGTTCAAATTCTGTATGCTGATGCCTTGGTCATGGCCTTCGTAAATAAAGTAATCTTTGAAAACACAAATACCAGTTAACGGATTTGGTTCAAATTTTATATGCTGATGCCTCGATATAACAAGGCACGGGGTGAACAATACTGTACCTAAAACATAGCAGTGTGGGCTAGTTGACCCAGAAAGCAAGATCGCCACTGAAAAGTAAATCAGATAAGTTAAATCATACTTTTTTTTCGGTACGATAAAAAGAAATTCTAAAGATGAATTTCATAATGGCCCCAATTTTTATAAAATGTAATCTTTCATAACCAGTTGATGGATTTGATTCAAATTCTTTATGGTGATGCCTTAGCGGCAAAGGAGCTCTTCTCAGAAAGAAATTCTCAAAATGGCAGCTGAATTTCAACATGGCCACAATTTTTTGTAAAAACATTATCTTTGATAGCTCAAATATCAGTGGATGGATTGGGTTCATATTTCATATGCTGACACCTTGGAACAAAGGTCAGCTCTGTTTAAGAAGAAATTATTTATCAAATCATGTATTGTTCGGTATGATTTGCTACTCCATGCAGTTGCTGTTATCTACAGTTCAAAATTAAAATTTATTTTCTTAGTTTGCTTAATTAATTGAAGGCTATAGTAGGTTCATGTAAAATGCTCGTTCTTTTTCATAAGCTTCATTGGTTTTGGGAATGCTTGGATCAAGAATTGTAACCTCAGTTGCCAGTTTCATTTCAGTAAAGAACCGAACAAACTGTTCCCCCAATGCATCACATACAATCTTATCTTCTCTTAGAGCTTTAATCCCCTCTTCTATGTCACATGGAAGATTTGGAGCATTTGGGTCATTTTCAGCTGGAAGTTGAAGTTTCCGCTGGATACCATCAATACCAGCAGCCACTGTCGCAGCAGCAATGAGATATGGGTTGCCTAGACCTCCTGCCATTCGGTTCTCCATATATGTACCTCTATCGCCATTGTTTTTTACCCTAATCAGAGCATTTCTGTCGTCAATCCCCCAGTTTGCTTTACATGGGTCTAATGACTGACCAACTCGTCTGAAACAGTTGACAGTTGGTGAATGAAGCACATAGATTGCTCTGGCATGGGACAATACACCTGCAAGCCAATGTTCAGCTAGACTTGATAAGTTGTTCAACTTTTCTGGGTTGTAAAACATGTTCTTTCCTAGCTTGTCCAAAATAGAAAGGTTCAAGTTGAGTCCGCATGTCGACCCCATTTTATGGGCTGTCATAAATGATGCAAGATAACCAGCTTTCTTTACAATTTCTTTGATTGCATATTTTGCTACATAGGCACCATCTACAGAGGCAAGACCAATTTTTGGTGATGTCGATATTTCAAAAAGTCCATCGACGTCTTCAGTATGCAACGCTTCAATATCAAGACCAACTTTCCTTAGATTTTCCTCTATTGGAAACATGACATTACCAAATTCTGTAACGAGAGACTGGTTGTATAAACCAGTTTTACCTTTGTAAATTGGTGTCTCATTATCCTTATGAAAGATATGGAACTCAAGTTCCCATCCAGTTTTCAAGGAATAACCTAAAGCATCTAAACATTTTAATTGTCGCCTAGCAACTTCTCTGGGAGCAGCATCTACTGGTGATTTAAAATCACTGTCCCAATGCAGATCGCATGTGATTTCTCCTATTTTTCTGTTTGGTTCATCTGCCCAAGGAATTGGCCTCAGCGTATTGATATCTGGCTTCAAATGACAATTCCCATGCTTTTTCTCAGTAACTTCTGGATGGAATGAAACAAATTCTCCAGATAAACCCACTCCGAGTATACCACAATATATTTGGACACCATTTACGAGGGCAGCTTGTACATGTTGTTTTGGGATTATCTTTCCTCTTGGAAGGCCATGGTAATCTGCAGTTGTGAATCGGACATAATCAAAATCACCAATGTCCAAAGTATTCATCATTTTCAGTCTTATTAACCTCAGTTCAATTGATCTGAAATTAAAAGGAGACAATGATGCTGCTAGGTATATTTCTAGTGATTTTTATTAGCTCACATGGTGAGCTTTTGCAATCGCTCACTTGTCCGTCTGTCTGTCCGTCCGTCCGTCCGTCTGTCTGTCTGTCTGTCTGTCTGTCCGTCAACAATAGTGGCACGTTTTAAAACCTCTGTCGATAGGATTCCTGTTTTAAGTTATTTCTGTTCAACATCAATACAGAAAACTCCCCTATGACTCCTGGTTCAAAAGCTCGCCTATTTTCAAAATGGCCGCCATTTTTGTCTCGCGAAATTCACTTTTGACTGGCACGTTTTAAAACCTCTGTCGATAGGATTCCTGTTTTAAGTTATTTCTGTTCAACATCAATAAAAAAAACTCCCCTATGACTCCTGGTTCAAAAGCTCGCCTATTTTCAAAATGGCCGCCATTTTTGTCTCGCAAAATTCACTTTTGACCCATTTCCTAGCTTTACAAATAATTTCAGGTGTCCTACATTGTAAAAATCTGTGTCAATGTAAAGAGTAGATATATGAAATAATTTTGTTACAAAAAATCAGCGAAAAATTATATCTATTTTTTTTATTTTCAGCCATTTTAGTTAACATTGATTTGTCCATCTGACTTGTGAAATCCACTTTTCCGTCAACAACAGTGGCACGTTTTAAAACCTCTGTCGATAGGATTCCTGTTTTAAGTTATTTCTGTTCAACATCAATACAGAAAACTCCCCTATGACTCCTGGCTCAAAAGCTCGCCTATTTTCAAAATGGCCGCCATTTTTGTCTCGCGAAATTCACTTTTGACCTATTTCCTAGCTTTACAAATAATTTCAAGTGTCCTACATTGTAAAAATCCATGTCTATGTAAAGAGTAGATGTATGAAATAATTTTGTTACGAAAAATCAGCAAAAAATTATATCCATTTTTTTTATTTTCAGCCATTTTAGTTAACATTGATTTGTCCATCTGTTTCGCAAAATCCACTTTTGGACCATTTGCCTTAAACCCTCTGTCGATAGGATTCCTGTTTTAAGTTAATTTTGTTCAACATCAATACAAAAAACTCTCCTATGACTCTTGGTTCAAAAGCTCGCCTATTTTCAAAATGGTCACCATTCTTGTCTCGCGAAATTCACTTTTGGCCCATTTCCTAGCTTTACAAATAATTTCAGCTGTCCTGCATTGTAAAAAGCCATGTCACTGTAAATAGTAGTTGTATGAAATAATTTTGTTACAAAAAATCGGCAAAATATTATATCAGTTCTTTTTTATTTTCAGCCATTTTAGTTAACATTGATTCGTCCATCTGTCTTTCAGTCAGTCCAAAAAAGTTGCAAGTTTTAAACCTCTGTCAACACTTTTTAAATCCTCTGTAGATAGGATTCCCGTTTTAAAATAATTTTGTTCAACATCAATAAAGAAAAAAAACCTGTGACTCCTGCTTCAAAATCTCGCCTAATTTCAAAATGGCCACCATTTCTGTCTCAGGAAATTCACTTTTGGCCCATTTCCTAGCTTTACAAATAAGTTCAGGTGTCCTGCATTGTAAAAAGCCATGTCTTTGTAAAGAGTAGTTGTATGAAATAATTTTGTCACAAAAAATCTGCAAAAAATTATACCCGTCTTTTTATTTTCACTTTTGAGCAACACCATGTGAGCCCAGTACCCACGGTACTAATTTTCTAAATATGTTATGTTTTGTGGGATTGTGGAGTATCACTTCAGACAAATTGGTATTGATATGGAGAACTGAATTCAACAATGTTTTCTCTTAAACCAATCATTGAAAACATTCTGTAAAAAACACAGTATTTTATGTAATGTTGACTGATTGACAACACTTAATGCGAAAATTATTTATAAATATTTTATATAACTGTTTTTGTTAACATTTTTTGTTTTTTAGTGCAATTGTTTTTGCTCCTTTCTACCAATTCTTGAGAATGAAATAAAATGTATTTCTGAACCTTGTTGGAACAAAATAGCATATACAACATCTTTTTAGATCTCTCAATATTTTTTTAGTTATACAAAGGACTTTTATGTTGATTTTAATGTTTTATTGTTGCTTGATTTATAGCAAAAACGTTGATTTGTGCCTGTTGATGGCCTTGCGCCTTTTTTAATAGATCTCATACCTTAGATGCGTATCGTTTCAGAAAAAATCCCAGAAAACCTAACATATTCTACCATACCGTGCGCCTATCCATTTAGCAATTCAATAGTAAACTTTTTCTTGAAAAATAAATCTTCCAGATTTGTTGAATTTCCTAGCAGAAATTGCCTGCTCCCCCCCTCCGTCCCATATTCACGATCACCGGGCGTGATTTTTACCATTCAAAAGATGACCATTTAATTGACGATGTGTTAAATTTTTAGATTTTTTTAAGAATGGTTTAAGAGAAACGTGTTCAAAAAGTTCTCCATATCGATACCACTCCTTTGGAGTAAACAATTTTCATTGTAATAAAATTGCTCATTTCAATCACTTGGTAACTGATTTGATCCAGAATGTAATTTCAAAACAGATATATGGGAGTGCTGGTTAATTGAATTTAAGATATTTAAATTGTGTAGGTAATAAAGTTATTATCATTATAATATCATATACCTTTAAGCAGTGGTACTAGACTCTCGTCTCACCACTTTTGTGTGGTACATGGTATAATTTAGCATTTTTATACAAAATATGTGCAGTCTAAATCACATATTAGCAATGTGAAAATAACTAGACTGTTCAGATCCAGATTTTTAGTTTTTCTAAACTTAGATTTTAGATTTTGATTTTCAAGGATTAACCCTTATTAAAATCATTATTTTGGACCAGTTCAACATGTTAAATTATTTCAGTTTGATATTAAATGAAAAATGTGAAAGGAATTAAGTTTGAGAAAGCTCAACTGAAGGTCAAATCCTGATTCATTAACCCTCTTCCTTCTATGGAAAGGACCAGGAGTTGTTTGTAGAATAAATTTGGGGAGTTTTTTCATGCATTTTGCTTGTTTTTCATCTAAAAAAAACACCAATACACTTTAAAACATTTCATTGATTATAAGATTGCACCATATCCAAAAAGAATTCTCATTTTCAATGATTATCAATAGATTAACACCCAGGTATTTTTATTTTTCAAACTTCAGAGGGCTGGAAATCATTGATAATCAACGCTTTTGAATAATATAAATGCTGTTTCAAATAGGTTTCATGTGTGCCAATTCTTTCTCAAATTGTGTAAACTTAACACAATCTTTAATTGCTAGAATATTCTCTTTGAGGAATTTCCCCTAGAAATCAAATGGTATAGTGAGATTACAGGAAAATAAATGCCCAATAAGGTGCATATTTTGAGAAATTATTGGCATACTTGAAACTTTGTAATATTTTCCATATGTGTCTGCATAAAATGGATTGGTTATGTAGAAACCTTTTTAAATTGGTCTATACAGGTTGTACAATGTATACTATTTTAAAATAATGTCACGCTTCTCCATTTTTTCTTGACAAATATATTATGCAGTTTAACAAACTATTCCACAAAAGAGTGTCTCATCAACTTCAATGCTAAATTTTAATTGTCCTTTAGAGTTCTTTGATAATATTTGACAAACACCTTAGAAATGCCTTGTCAGGAAGACAAATTCAATCATACCTCAAATTTTCAGAAAATATCCACTCTACCAATCAATCGATCGATTTCAATGTCTGAAAAATAAGAAAATTAATGTATTTTTACTTACCTTATAGAGTTTGTTTAAACACTAGTCCTGCAGCAACTAGTAAGACCTTTATGAAACCTGGGCTTAGTACAGTACACTTGTTTCTTGTTTTTTCCTTATATACTTCATCTGATTGGCTGATTAATTTTCACCTGGTACCATATAGCCTAATAAGTCATAGCAAAGTGGAGGAGGGATATAGAGAAGCAATTTGTCCATCTATTCATCCATCTGCCTGTCCGCTTGTTTTTCCATCCATGTAATAACTCTGATAAATCAATGGCTGATGATTGATCATGATGGTGAGGATATTTGCTCAAGAATGAATTTATAATAGTGCTGTATTTTTCTTTAATTTGGCACTACTTAATTTGGCAATTTTGTGTTTTTGGGCTTATTGGTGTCTATTTAATTTGGCGGTTTGCCAAGTGTCCCAAACATCCTCACTTCCAAGCCAATTCAAGATACTCATTGTTAGTGTTGTTGATGAACAATATTCTTCAGTATTTCTTGTTGTTTCTATAGATTTAAATGGCCTAGCCATCTTGATATCTTTCTTATAACCAGATGTACACCAAACGAAAAACATGCCATATACCCAGGGATTTCACATGTCACATCATGGGTGTTAATTTTCGAAAAAGGGGACAATACTACTGCTTGGGCATTATCCCAATGAACAAAATTGGTGGAAAGATGAATATTGGTGAATATTTTTACGCCAAAAAACTTTTTTTCAAGATGGCCGCCACTTTAGAAATGGCAGAAGTATATATATAATACTTGTAGATGATTTTTAAAAAAGTTTGGTCAATTTGAAGCAAGTCTCCAAGATAGTCTCCAACTTTTTATGTCCCCACCACATAGTGTGGGGCCATATTGTCGTCCTAGGCGCGTCCGTCCATCCGTCTGGTTGTCTGTCTGTCTGTCTGTCCATCCGTACGTCCGGCAGTTTTCTCCAAAACCGCTACAGGTATCACCTTCAAAATTTCAGGAATAACTTGTGAGTGCATAAAGATGAAAAAAAATTAACTCGATAGCTACTTCCTGTTGGCCATTTTGAGGTCAAATGCTAAAATCCTTGTCCGCAATTTTTAAGAAAAACGGCTTCACAGTTGCTTTTAAAACTTTAAAATCTTGTTCAGCTCACTTCATTCTACATCTGATTAGGTTTTGGACCTGTTAGCTCAGTCATGTCAGCCATTTTGAATGTCTTAAGAAAAGTTAGCGCGCGATAATACTTTGTATCATATTGAATGGTGTTTTTGAGTTTTCATACTTTAACTATTTAGTAGCTTTATAAATAATTTTAGGTGTACTTTGTTGTAAAAGCCTATGTTATTGTTAATAGTAGTTATATGTGATAATTTTGTAAAAGGAAATCAGCAAAAACTCATAATTTCTTTTTTATTGTCGGCCATTTTGGTTTTTTCCATACTAAAATCTTGTCTGTAAAGTCTTGTCTACGCGTTTTCAGGTGAACCATTTGGTATCAATTTCAAATTTTCAGGGATGATTCTTAGTATGAAAATCTAGATCTGATTAGTTTTTTGGTATTCTTGGTAAATGTCAAGGCAGCCATTTTGGATTTTCCGTCTTAAAATCTTGTCTGTAAAGTCTTGTCTACGCATTTCCAGGTGAACAGTTTGGTAGATCAATTTCAAATTTTCAGGGATGATTCTTAGTATGAAAATCTAGATCTGATTAGTTTTTTTGGCATTCTGGGTAAATGTCAAGGCAGCCATTTTGGATTTTCCGTCCTAAAATCTTCTCTGTAAAGTCTTGTCTACGCATTTCCAGGTGAACCGTTTGTTAGATCAATTTCAAATTTTCAGGGATGATTCTTAGTATGAAAATCTAGATCTGATTAGTTTTTTGGCATTCTGGGTAAATGTCAAGGCAGCCATTTTGGATTTTCTGTCCTAAGATCTTGTCTGTAAAGTCTTGACTACGTGTTTTCAGGCGAACCATTTGGTAGATCAATTTCAAATTTTCAGGGATGATTCTTAGTATGAAAATCTAGAACTGCTTAGTTTTTTGACATTCTGGGTAAATGTCAAGGCAGCCATTTTGGATTTTCCATCCTAAAATCTTGTCTGTAAAGTCTTGTTTAACTGTTTGACAGATCAATTTCAAATTTTCAGGGGTGGTTCTTAGTATGAAAATCTAGAACTAATTTTGGGGGATTCTGGGTAAATTTTAAGGCGGCCATTTTGGATTTTCTGTCCTCAAATTGTGTCAGTAAAGTCTTGTCTACTCATTTTCAGGATAATCATTTGACAGGATCACCCATTGGTGGGGACATTTTGTACACATTTGTGTTCTTGTTTGTGGATGTTGTTTGGCGGTTGGTGTTCAGTGGTCTGCGTTCACTGGTCGGCATCTGTAACAAATGGCAGGTGGTGACATTTTGTATGTTAATATTAATGCCTTGTTTTCATATGGATCTAGTTTTAAAATAGTTTAATATTGTAATGTATTGTATTCAATATTTCAGAAACGTGAATACCCAGATGGTACTGTAAAAACTGTTTACCCAGATGGGCGCCAGGAGACCAGATACGCCAATGGTAGACTCAGGGTCAAAGATGCCGCAGGAAATGTAACCATGGATAAACGCACTTAGCCACACCCTTGCCACTGGGGAGACTGTTGCTATGAAACTGGTTCATATTGCAGCTAGATATGTTACTATATATAGAGACAGATTCAAATTTGAGACTCAAAATCAAGGACATGGCAAAGAATGTTCCTTTTGTGAAGCAAACTTAGCACTTGTAGCTATGAGGCAAAGGATGCCAAGGGTAAATTGCTAATGGTAAATTCATTGTCAATGACACACCAGGAAATAATGCCATGTGAAATGTGAAATTCCTGTTGCGTGTATATATCTGGGTCAAGAAATGAGGATGATGGACCATTTTGAAAACTGAACCCCTCTTGGCAAATCCTGGATACAGGCCTGGAAAGTATTTGAATATTAATAAAATTAAATGTTTTAGTTGTGAATATTGGACTGCATCTACTGACATGATTTCTGCAGTATTATGGTTATTCACAATACTGACATAAATATATTGTACATAATATACATATATATGATATACAATCTACATGTACATAAAAATCATTCTGGACTTAAAGCAATTGTAAATATGTCACAAAATGTAAAAAAATGTAAGATACTGTGAATATGAAACTGCAATTTTTTGTAAAAAATGAAGTTTTAGATATGCAAATGCTGTTATCATTATCCTGTTTTTATTTAATGAGATTTTATTGTATAAACATAATATATTGTTATTTTTGATATTTTAATAGATTGTGAATATCTATATTTTAGTATTCAAAAGAAGCTAAATTGTTTGTGTTTTATGGCATTATGAGGTTTGCTTTCCTTGAATCCTTATGTGGATTATTCTATAGAGCATGCAAAGGAATTAAACAATATGATGTTTCTATATTGATTTTTGAAATGTTATGTTCGGCATTTGGTGGTCGCCATCTGTAACAAATTTCAGGTGCTGATATTTTGCTCGTTAATGCCTTTTATTCAAAATACCAACATACAAACTCCATTAAATATTCTCATTTAGATCAATCTTGAATTAACTTACACCGCCTCAAAAGTTCAGAAAATGGAATTTTTTGTCCCAGATTGATTGAGTACTAATAGATAGAGAGAAAGAGAATAAGCAATCTATATCAGGATCTAGAAAGATCCATTCCTACAAAATGATAAGTAAATTCACATTTAGGAAATCAAGCAACTAATTAAGATACCTATTTTTACAATTAATAAGTTAATACTCAACTAAATCATATAATTTACATATAAGTATACAAACTGTACACTTTATTTTTAGATTTATTAAGATATATTATTCACAAGAGGCTGTTTTGTACCATGGTATTCACAACTTATAACCTTGACTGTATACATAAATAAATCACATAAAGATACTGTATGTAGCGACTAAGCTCTAGCAGTACACTATTAATTGAATAACTTTTGGTTCGAAACCAAGTGTTTTTAATTTGAAACAAACTTTGTAATTTGAATATTTAGTAGATGTTTCTTTTATGGGGTTCAATTAAATGTTCAGGTTTGTCAACTGTCCACTTTGCTATGTTCCAATCAAAATATGCTCCAGTGCAACATTTGGATCCTTATTAACATGGACTTTAGAAAGTCCATATTACTAATTGACGCACTTGTATTTACAAAGTTAAGATCCACTAAAAGGCAAGTTCTGTTTGTCCCTTGCTTTCTGTATAGGTCTAAATATCACTTTTTTTCGATAACATTAGTAATACATTGTCATGTCGTAGACTCTATATCCTATAGCTCAATATTGTCCTAATTAAGATTTCAGGGTTAGAGATTGGTCCAGTCTATTTTTACAGACTTTTCTGATAACTTCAACGCTTATAGCAAATCCACCTATGATAGAGAACGACATAGCGACTGCGATTCCAGCGTGGAGGCCACTGTTGAAATCTTTCCTAATGTCAATACCTGCAAAGAAAGTTTGAAAATTTAACATGGTGTAATTGATGTATTGTACAGCAAAATAGGAGACATTTTCCTTGATTTTATATATTATGTTGATACCTGCAAAGAAAGTTTTTAATAGGTCAGTTGTTTTTATTTGCATAAAAAACTATAAATTGATTACATAAATTGTGGGGGGCTGAAGCTCTTGGCATTATTGCCCCCCCCCCCTTTAAGAAAAACGTTTAACATAGTATCTATTGCACAGTATAAATAGGAAACTATCATTTTTCTTGGTTCTATGTCACCACTTCTTGTTATAGTCTCCAACTTTTTTGTGGCCTGTGTTCGGAGGTTTGTGTTCGACGGTCGGAGTCAGTAACAAATGCCAGGTGGTGACATTTTGCATGTTAATATATTTTATATCTATTAGAAGAGGTTCCGCTTAGACGTAACATTAGGAGGGGTGCATAAATAAATATTGGTGCAGCATTTAAAACAAAACCAATATCAAGGTTAAACAATAATTACCACCGTAGCCCAGAAAATACCAATTATTCTCCTAAAGCTGTATATCTTAGAATTTGGGCGAAATAATAACAATAAATGCCGATCCACATTCATAAAATGAGACTAGAAGATTGGAATTTACTTATTTTGATGATGCAATGAGATCGGATAAAAAAGCCAAAAGCTTTTTTACGGCTGGAAACAATTTTTCCTAGTCCCAAAATAATCTCGAGTACCAGTGCTTAGTACATCAATTCTAGCGACCCCCTGGCCAAATATTCTTTCAAATTTATGCATTTTCACTACTTTGAAGTGATTTTGGGCCAAAGTTGTCGAATATGAACCCCCCCCCCTGGATTTTCTAAGAGAATCTCCCTTGCCGAAAGCTAATTGAAGAACGACTTATTAATAGATAATTGCTATTAAGAATTTTAAAACTAATTCCCTTATCTATAAAGTACGTAAACGGATTCTATAAATACGCACATTTTCGCAATCATTTGTTTCTGAACATATACTGATATACGAACTACTCAAAGCAGGTCCAAAGTTTGTCTTAAAGTAAATTCGAAAATGCTAATGAATACATGTACAGTTAAAAATAAACTATGAATTCATTTAAATAACCATTAAACTCAATCCACAATTTTAATGAAAGGAAAAACCATACAAACAGATATAAAATAGTAGCCCGGACAGAATTTTTCAATGGTCACTTTTTCAGAATTTCACTCTAGTTTTCAAATATGTAATCAGATTTTGATAATACTGAAAACTAAAAAAGTTATTAAAGAAAAAGTGACCATTGAACAATTCTGATTTGTTCATGATTAACATTCCGAATCAAAAGATGTTGAAGCCAAATCTATCAGTCAGTTATCTTATAGATCAAAAGTATTTCAAGACCGATCCATAAAAGGGTAAACTACTCTGAGCTATATTCATTGAATATAGTGCTAGTTTCGGAACTTCGTACGGATTGCAATGCATTGTAATACTATTGATCAATGAGTTGACTGATTTGATATTCAAGCGAGTAGGGTAAGCCAGGATGAAAAATTCCATGGTCTGACTTAGCTCCATGTAAACGCTTTGAATGGGATGTTGGTGTTTATGTTCGATTGAAAGCATAGCATTCTACTGGCTGCTGATATATTAACGATTTATGGAATAGTGAGTCAGACTTGTGAAATAAATTCTACAATTTTTGGGCTCCAAAATTAAATATATGGCTGCTTGTCATAAATACGCTTTTATTTTCGTATGAGTTTGCACGGATTCTAACCCAAAATCAACCCAAAATATTTCTTCATACATGAACAGTAATTTCCGTTTTGATCGGAATTATCATTCACATATCATCCAATTATTGGTTTTCATAATTACATGAAGCATGAATGAAAACATAGATACCTTCTTGGGCTAAAGATAAAGCCACAAACTGCAGTAAACAGACTAAAGCGAGGAATCCCTTCATCCTGATGATATTCGGCAGATCTGTAGTTTCACGTTCTACTGGTATAGGGACACACGCGTATTGTACAAGGTAACTTTACTATGTGCGGACTTTGAAACTCAAGGACCTGATAAGGGGACCATTATCGTTTACACACTGGACTAGTGTTGATCTATACTGTTTAGTTAATATGTTACACTTCTTTCATTTGTAGTAATTTATTAACTACTAGTAACTAAATGATGATCATGGCCCGGAAACATGTATAAAAGTCGAGTCGAATACACCAAGAGATTCGCTCTTTACATGGTGAATTGGTGAAGATCCAATGAGGGTTGGCTCCCAGGATCGAATCTCGTAATATTTGTCCAACAATGGAAACGTCAAAATGTCGCTATTTTCTGGAATTATAACCGATTATAAATTCAAAATAGACAGTTCAAAAGATTCGAACCAATATCTCGATCTTTTTTGTGAATTTTGGAATTTTTCGTTTGAAAATAATGTTGAAGTGAACAAAATGGCGGCTGTTTGAACTCGAATTTTGTATCACGACATGCCCATGTATGGGAATATATCGATGTTGCACTCTGGGGGCCAATCCTCCTTGGTGTAGATCCAATGCGGATTGGCTCCCAGGATCGAGACTCGATATTTTCCAACAATGAAAACGTCGAAATGTTATTTTCTGGGAATAACCAAAAATCACGATTCAAATGTTGAAGTTGTAACCACACTTGATAACAAGTTGCTACTACGGCCCATCTCCAGTGTCATAAGCCTTTGTGGCTCAGTTGGTAGAGCCTCAGACTTTGGGTTCAAGGGTCCTAGGTTCGATTCCCACACGGGGAATTGAATTTAGCACACTTCCTTTCAATTTCTTTGTCTGGCTTGTTAGTTGTTACACTATGCTCGTTAGTTAGTCATTCCCCTGGGGCGCCCTCTGGTCATTACAAAGTGAACAAAATGACGACTCTTTACATTCTAATTATTCGGTTTGAAGCACAAACAGACCACCAAACACAATCGAGTGGTGGTATTTTCTTGAAATTTTATATGTGAATACTTGGAAGAATATTACAATGTAAATGACAAATTGGCTAAAATGGCAGTCATGGCTGTTGGCGTTGCTGTTATCTAATCGGAATAGATAATATATCACAAATTGAAAAAATGTTTAGTTTTCCCGAAATCTACAGGAAAAGGAGAAATCTATATGAAGAGAAGTTACAATGTATCATATACATAGAGGAGTTTCAATGTATCATATACCGAATCGCTAGAATACTCTAATTCAAGGATGTGATA